TTAATTATGTTTATTATTATTATAACTAAACTAACAAAAAATATTAAATAAATAAATGAAAAATAAATTATTTTAAATACTCTGAGCTGTATTGTCAATGACTGTTGTTGTAATTACAACAACGATTGCAAACAAAATAACAAACAAACGATTATTCATTGTTTTTATATATATATTATTATTATTTAATTATTTTTGCTATTAAATTATTTGTTAATATAAAATAAAATTTATAGTCAAATGTTATGGAAAAAAATACATGTCTTAAATTTTGGTGTTTAGTTGGTTTATATACCTTAACTAAACAGTAAAAAATAGGATATCCATATGTTTTATTGACGCAAATCTATTTTAAAATATATATATATATATATTTCATAATAAATAACTTTAAATAGAGACTCTATATTTAGATATTATAGAAATATTATTTACAAAATGTTTTTGAAAAACGTAATACATATTAGATGTATATTTTCTATATTTAAAAAAACTATTTTTATTTTTCTATCTATACATCCAGACTGGCCACCCAATTATTTTTTTTTAACAAACCTGTATAATAGTATAAAATATTTTAATTTTACCTGTATTTTCATGTATATTAAATATTACATTGGTGTATGTTAATAGGTATTAATTTTAATTAAGATATAATTTTATTTTAAACATGACATTTATATAACTGTATATAACAAAAATATAAGAAATTTTATTTATTTCATTCAATTAATTAATGTATAACGTATTTAATGCAAAATTAGTGTATCCTTATAATCTGCATTTATTCTTAAAAAATATAACTAACTGACTACCGGTGCTAATTAATTAGTATAGAAATACTAAATAAAATAATTTAAAAAAAACAAACAATTGATACAAATTGTTTAACTGAATATATATATATAATATTTAAAAATATATATATAAAACATGTATAATATGCACGCAATTTAATTGTAAACTATATTATTGATATCTAATCTTACTATACATTTGAATTTTTGAATACATGATAAATAATTTTTTTGTATTAAAACTAATTATAATTACTTTAAAATAATTAGAGTATACAAATCTATTATAAAAATTAAATTACTAATATTGTACTAAAAATTACCTAATTTAACCTAGCAATTTGAAACTGAAAAATAACAATAAACTAACAAATATTTAATAATGTTTTTTTTAAAGACAATTTACACCAAATTTGTTTGAAAAAAAGTTTATTACAATAAAATTAATACAAAAACAAAAAATATATAATAAGTTTGTTGTAGTTGTTGTCATTGAAAATAATTATACAGGAAATTACTATTTAATTTTGGACTAAACAACGATTTTTTTTCTTCAAATAACTAATGGTTTAATCCTAAAACCTTGATTATCGACGGGTGCTATAGTATTGATGTTAACACTGCTTAAGCTGTCATCTCTAACTGTCCCTCGACTACCACTACTACTATTGTCATAATCAGTGGGTAATCCAATCCACAATTTGATTACCGGATTAGTATCGATAGCCAATCGTAGGACATACATACTGTCCAACTCGTGTCCGTAAACTCTCAAAACACGTGCGCCGATAATACTTCTGATGTTCAAAAACCCAGACAAACAAACAAACAATAAATATTTATTTAAATATATTCAGAAAAAAAAACAAATATTAAATAAAAAGAAATAATTGTAACAAACTTTGCTTCATCAGAGGCAGTGGCCAAAACCGATCGGACAATAAAACTACCCGAAAACGGTTTTGTCGACAAAATCAAACCCAATAGCCGTGTGTCGACTCGTATGTCCCATTCATACCATTCCGTCAGACGATTATGTTGTATGCCATTGCTTTCATAAGTCAATGCCCTATTGATAAACTCTGTTATATACAGTCGATGACAAAATAGATGAACGAGGTTTTTTGTGTATATCTTTAGAATGGAAAGGAACTAGAACAAAAAATTTTTTTTGCTACTATTATTTATTGGGACGGTCAGTTTGGTATTGTCACTTTTTTGTAATTGGGCACAGGTATGCAAGGACAGGGATGGTCAATATCTCGAAAACTATAATAGATATTAAAATTTTATAAATTGCTAAATATACTAAATTAAAAAATATTGGACACGTGTTTTGGCATTTTTAATTTTATTGCAAAATATTCGAACATAATTAATTTGTTTGTTGCAAAAATCAAAATTTAGGAAGTCATATTTTTTAAACGCATCAATTTATCATGATTTAGTTAATTGATTTAAATTCTATATTTTAGTACTAACAATTCATCTATACATTAAATTTAGTTATCTTGTTTAGTTTTTTACATATTTGTAAATTAATTTTTTTCTATTATAATTATTTATAGATTTTGTTATCAATGTTATGTAATAGAAGACAATAATTAATACTTAATTACAATAGAAAAAAATTAATTTACAAATATTTAAAAAACTAAACAAGCTAACTAAATTTAATATATAGATGAATTGTTAGTACTAAAATATAGAATTTAAATCAATTAACTAAATCATGATATATCGATGCGTTTAAAAGATATGGTCTCTTAAATTTTGATTTTTGCAACAAAAAAAATAATTTTGTTCGAATACTTTGCAATAAAATAAAAAATGCCAAAACACGTGTCCAATATTATCAGATTTAGTATAATTAGCAATTTATAAAACTTTAATATCTATTATAGTTTTCGAGATATTGACCATCCCTGTCCTTGCATACCTGTGCCCAATTACAAAAAAAATGGCAATACCAAACTGACCGTCCCAATAAATAATAGTAGCAAAAAATTTTTTTTGTTCTAGTTCATTTGCATTCTAAAGATATACACAAAAAACCTCGTTCATCAATTTTGTCATCGACTGTATATATATATATATAATTTCAGTAATACTGTTAGCAATTTTTGGTTGTTTTTTTTAAAGATAATCATTGATTAATAATAATAATATATCCTATATATCCTATAAATATATATTGCTTATAAATATACCTTTTAATATTTTATAGTCAATAGCATAGGTAATCAAACCAAACTCTATAATACCACCCCAAGTAAGACCGCACAGTCGGCCATCGGTATCGATTAGTGGACTACCAGAAAAACCGTGAACATTGACCGTATTGTGTGTTATAATCAGGGTTTTAAAAATGGCAGGCATAAACAATAGATGCCTATTTTGCCAAATGCCTGCCTTGCCTCTGCCATGCCCAGGGCATCTATTTTCAGGTGGTGACACCTATTATTTTAATTTTTTTATTATTAATTTATTTATAAAAATTGTTTTATCAATATATTTGTTTGTATTTTTGTTTTGTATATCTTTACTTAAAAGATAATATATTAGAAATAAGTATATTAATTGTAAATTTAATTAACAAGCTAAAAAACAGTAAATTAAATTATTTTTATAAATACAGTTGCTTTTTAGCAATTTAAATTGGCAGGCAAATAAAATAGATGCCCAAAATGCCAGGCATTTATGGCATCTATTTGGGCATTGCCAAGGCAGGCATTTATTTCCTTAAAACCCTGGTTATAATAGGTATTTCCTCACCGTATGGTATAACACTTACGTTATACGTATTGGGTATCATATTGTTATCGACCCGGTGTGTCATAATCATACCCGGGTGCAATGCAAACAATATTTTATTGCCATTACCCAACATACTAACTGGCTGACCAAAATCAATACTGTTGCCGGTAGTCCACGGCATTGGTATCGACCGAGTGTACAACAGTGACGGTATTTCCTGTAAGCGTATTAATGCCAAATCCAAGTGGGGTTCAACATATAGGACGTCGGTCTCGAGATGCGGTGTCAACAGTACCGACCGATTCTGATAACTATTAACACTGCGAACCCATACTAACGGATTATGTTTGACCACATGATAACAGGTTAACAATAGTTGACTACTATTGTTGTCCACTTTGTTGTCAACAAAAACACCGCTACCGAAACCGTTACTATATCGATAGTCGTCGAGTATCGGTCTTACTATATGAGCCGTCGATTGTATGCAACGTGTTTTCATATCAATCATATCCAGGCCATTATCGGCGGTGTGGTGTCCATTGTTTTCCACCATAAGCGTCGCCGATCTAAGACACGGAAACCGATTGCCTGGTTGTTTGGCAGCCAATGATCGGGCACTGGTGGTGGTGGTGGTGGTCGTCTGAACCGATTGCCAGATAAACAATGGCGACCTATTGTATGCTATCCATACCATTGATAATCGTATACATAATATATTCAATGATCTACCGTAAAAAAAATGTCAGCAAATTTTATTTAAACTATTATTTTTAAACTAATATATATACAGTATATATATATATATATACTGTATATACATTATATGTAACCAACCTATGATATCTTATAGTTGATAACATAGTTGTATACATGTAGTTAATCCTATATGTAAAGTATAACTAACTACCGGTGCTATTAGTTTATAAGTATTTTGATAAAACAATTATATAACTATAGTTAATAACGAAATATATATATATATATATATTCTGATAACAAAAATAATAGTTAATATAACAAAAATTCAAAACTTTTTTATATTATACACGCGATTACTACAATTACATTATATAAATATATAAAAATATTTATTATATAATTTTAACAACTAATGTAAAAACTAATTTTCTTAACCAATTAATTAATTAATATAATTGTAATGTAAAATCAAAATTTACAATAATATATATATATATATATATAATTAATTATATTTCATGAAGTGCACTTGAATTTAATAAATTTATTAAACATTAAAAAAATTTTAATACTATACTAGAATTTATTGATAAAAAAATATTTACAATTTAATATATAATTTAGTTAATAATACTGTAAAATATTTTTTTTTAACTATTTTGAATAGAATTGTATAATAATAAATCATTTATAATAAACTATTTTTATTTTGATTATACAATTATAAAACAAAAAAATTGTATTTCAAAAAACTAATGGTTTAATCCTAAAGCCTTGATAATCGACGGGTGCTATAGTATTGATGTTAACAGTGCTGATGCTATCATCTATAACTGTTCCTCGACTACCACTACTACTACTACTGTCATCTTCAATGGGTAATTCAATCGACAATTTGATTACCCGATTAGTACCGATAGCCGATCGGATGACATCAATATTATTGAACACGTGTCCGAAAACTTTTGTAACACGTGAGCCGATAATATTTCTGGTATCGACACAAACAAACACAAAATAAATACAAAATTTATTTATTAATTGTTTCAAACAAACTTTGTTTCATCAGAGACAGTGGGCAAAACCGATCGGACAATAAAACTACCCGAAAACGGTTGTTGTGTAGACAAAATCAAACCCAATAGTTGACTATCGGCTCGAATGTCCCATTCATACCGTTCCGTCAGACGATTATGTTTTATGCCATCGCTTTCATAAGTCAATGCCCTATTGATAAACTCTGTAAATTAAAATAATAATAATAATTAATTAAAAATTTCAGTAATACTATCAGTAGATTATTGCTTATATATATATATATATACCTTTCAATGTTATATAGTCGATAGTATAGGTTGAATACCAAAGTTGTATACCACCCCAAACAATACCGCACAATAGTCCATCCGTATCTATTAGAGGACAACCTGAAAAACCGGGTACATTGATAGCATCGTTGGCTACCAAAGGCAATACCTGACCAAATGGTACCTGACTTACATAGTACGGGTTGGATGCCATGTTGTTATCGACTCGCTGGATGGTAATCATACCCGGATGCAGGGCAAACATTATCTTATTGCCATTGCCTATCATGGCTACCTGTGCACCAAAATCAATACTCCCGGAAGTACTGGTAGTCATCGGCATTGTTGTCCATGTATTATAATCAGGCGATAACAACTCACGGAGCCTGACTATAGCCAAATCCCAGTGCGGCTCTACATATAGGACATCGGCCTCAATCGGCAGTGTAGTCATTACAAACCGATACCAATACACTTGAACACATTGAACCCAAACTACTGGTCTATGTTTGACCACATGATAGCAGGTTAACAGTAGTCGATTGTCGACAACAAAAACACCCGATCCCGTACCGCTAACAATACAGTTGTCTTCAATTGTAGGCCGTATGACATAAGCTATCGATTTGATACAACGTTTTTTTATGTCAATCATATCCAGACCATTATCGGCAGTGTTTTCATTGTTGACCGCCATAAGCGCCGCCGATCTAAGACACGGATACCCATTGTTTGGTTGTTTGGCAGCCAATGATCGGGCACTGGTGGTGGTGGTGGTGGTGGTGGTGGTGGTCGTCTGAAACGATTGCCAGATAAACAATGACGACCTATTGTATGCTATCCATACCATTGATAATGGTATACATAATATACCCATTGATCTGTAAAAACCAATGTTTATTCAAACAATTTTGTTTTCACTAATTTTTTCAATAACTAACCGATGATTTCTTATAGTTGATAACATAGTTGTTTACATTTAAGTTATCCAAAACTAACTACCGGTGCTATTGGGTATAGATATTATTAAACTTAAAACAATTATATAACTATAGTTAATATTAACAAAATTCAAAATATTATGCACGCTATTATTATACTTTACGTTACATAAATTATATAAATTAAAAAAAAAATATTTATATAATTTTAATAACTAAATCAAAAAAAAACTGATTTTGTTTTTCAAACCAAATTAATCAGTTTTATAATTATAATTAATAAAATCTAAATAAATAAGTTTACTATATATATATATATAATTAATTATATTTATATCAAGTGTAATTGATTTTTTTAAAAATAAATTTATTTACATTAAAAAAATTTTCAATACTATACTAGAATTTATTGGATATAATTAAATAAATTGTAATATATTTTTTTATCAAAAGAAAAATAAGTTTCAGTATTATATAATTATAAAATCATTGATTATTTAATTTTAATTATACAATTAAAAAAAACAAAAATATAGTATTTCAAAAAACTAATGGTTTAATACTAAAGCCATGGTTATCGACGGGTGCTATAGTATTGATGTTAACAGTACTGACGCTATCATCTCTAACTGTCCCTCGACTACCACTACTACTACTACTACTGTCATCAATGGGTAATCCAATCGACAATTTGATTACCCGATTACTACCGATAGCCGATCGGATGACATCAATATTGTTGAACACGTGTTCAAAAACTTTTGTAACACGTGAGCCGATAATACTTCTGGTGTGTCGACCAAAACAAACCCACAAAAAAAATTATTTAATATATATTTATATTTATTTAGTAATTGTAAACAAACTTTGTTTCATCAGAGACAGTGGGCAAAACCGATCGGACAGTAAAACTACCCGAAAACGGTTTTGTCGAGAAAATCAAACCCAATAGTCTAGTATCGGCTCTAATGTCCCATTCATACCGTTTCATCAGACGGTTATGTTTTATGCCATCGCTTTCATAAGTCAATGCCCTATTGATAAACTCTGTAAATAAAACATTAAATTTTCATTAAAACTGTCAGCAATTTTTTTTTCTTAGACATAGTTAACATATATTGTATATATATCTGTTGATTATATATATAATTTATATATATATATATATATACCTTTCAATGTTATATAGTCGATAGCATAGGTTGAATACCAAATTTGTATACCACCCCAAACAATACCGCACAATAGGCCATCCGTATCTATTAGTGGACAACCGGAAAAACCGGGTACATTGATACCATCGTTGGCTACCAATGGCAATACCTGACCAAATGGTACCTGACTTACATAGTACAGAGCGGGTGTCAGATTGTTGTCGACTCGGCGGATGGTAATCATACCCGGATGCAGGGCAAACATTATCTTATTGCCATTGCCTATCATGGCTACCTGTGCACCAAAATCAATACTCCCGGAAGTACTGGTAGTCATCGGCATTGTTGTCCATGTATTATAATCAGGCGATAACAACTCACGGAGCCTGACTATAGCCAAATCCCAGTGCGGCTCTACATATAGGACATCGGCCATAGTTATTGGACATGTTATGACTGTTTGATTTTCATAGCTTCCCACATATCTGACCCAAACTACTGGACTATTTCTGACCACATGATAGCAGGTTAAGAGTAGACCATCGTTACCGCCGCCACCACCGCCGCCGTCGACAAAAACACCCGTACCGTCGCCACTAAACAGATAGTTGTCTTCAATTAGCGGTTTTACAATATAACCTATCGATCGGATGCAACGGGTTTTCATAGCAATCATATCGATGCCATTATTATTATTATCGGCGGCGGTGTGTCCATTGGTGTCCACCATAAGCGCCGCCGATCTAAGACAATAATACCGATTTTTGTTCAGTGTTTTGGTGGCAGACAATGGTCGGACACTATCGGTGGATGTTATCTGAAACGATTGCCAATTAAACAATGCCTGCTTATACTTATTATTATTATTATGGTATGTCCACCAAACCATTGATAATGGTATACATAATATACCCATTGATCTATATATATATATATATATAAAAATATATTTTTATAATAACTGTTTCAAATTTATTGAATAATATATATATACAGTATATAATAATAATAATAATATGTAACAAACCGATGATTTATTGTATACATAGATAAAAGGGTAATCTATATATATATATATAATTAAAGCTATAACTAACTACAAGTGCCGATTATGACTATACGTTTAGTAACAATAAATAAATTTTATTTTGGCGTAAACAGCGTTTTTATATTGTATTATTTACACGTGCTATTATAGATGGACTTTTATTTTATTAATTTAAAAAAAATACGTGTAAATAGCACGTGAAATACAATTAAATTGAATAGTAAATAATACAAAATAAAACGCTGTTTACAACGTAGACCGGCTCCGTTAGTTGTACTTTACATTTAATTAATTACTTTATTGTTAACTAATGTATACATTATTATCAACTATAAGAAATCAGAGGTTAGTTATATATTAGTGAAAATAAAAATATTTTATTAAAAATTTTGGAACAGAATCGGTATATGTAACCCATTTGTTGTTCAAGTTTTAAACGCTAATAAAATGACAATTTAACAAGTTTTACATACCAGCCCTCACCTCCCGTTCCTTCCCTCCACATACGCCACTTCCTAACCCTCTACATCCACCCCAACCTAACCTAACCTAAAGTAATTGATAGCATTTGTCATAAACTTAATGGTTATAACAACGCGCGTGAAATTTCAACAACAAATGGGTTACATATAACGAACTTTAGCCAAAATTTTATTTGAAACATTTGTTTTACGGTAATATATTAATTGCAGATTAATGGGTATATTATGTATACCATTATCAATGGTTTGGATGACATACCATAATAACAAGTATAAGCCATCGTTTATCTGTCAATCGTTTCAGACAACATCCAGTGGTGTCCGACTATTGTCTCCAAAAACAAACAATCGGTATCATTAGTTTTTTTGAAATACTATTTTTTGTTTTTTAATTGTAAAATCAAAATAAATAAAATTTCAAAATAGTTAAAAAAAACATTTTATAGTATTATTAACAAAATTATATATCAAATTATATATTTTTTTATCAATAAATTCTAGTATAGTATTGAAATTTTTTTTAATTTAAATAAATTTATTATAATCAATTGCACTTGATCAAATATAATTAATTATATAAATAATTTATAGTAAACTTTAATTTTTGATTTTTTCATTACAATTATATCAACTGATTAATTGGTTAAGAAAATTAGTTTTTACATTAGTTATTAAAAATTATATAATAAATATTTTTATATATTTATATAATGTAAACGTAGTAATCGCGTGCATAAATATAATAAAGTTTTGAATTTTTTTATAACTATTACTATTACTATATATTTTGTTATTAACTATAGTTATAATTGTTTTAATTTTGATACATATAACCAATAGCACCGGTAGTTAGTTGTACTTTACATATAGGATTGAGCGCTTAACTAAATGTATAAAACTATATTATCAACTATAAGATATCATAGGTTTGTCTCATATCTATATGTTATATATTGTATATATATAAGTGAAAAATAATAGTTTGAATAAAAATTTGCTGACATTTTTTACGGTAATATAATTTTTTTTTTTTTTGATTGTTTGATCAGATCAATGGGTATATTATGTATACCATTAACAATGGTATGGTGGACATACCATAATAAGTATAAGCAGCCATTGTCTGCCAAAACAGACAATCTGTATCTGTGTCTTAGATCGGCGATGCTTATGGTGGACAACAATGGACAACACACGGCCGATAATGGCCTGGATATGATTGATATGAAAAAACGTTGCATACAATCGACGGCTCATATATTAAGACCGGTACTCGAAAATTATCTGTTTAGTAACGGTATGGGTAGCGGTGTTTTTGTGGACAACGTGAACAACAATAGTAGTCGTCTAGTGTTAACCTGTTATCATGTGGTCAGACAGAGTCCGTTAGTTTGGGTTCGCAGTTGTAATAGCTATCAGAATAATCGGTCGGTACTGTTGACACCGCCTCTGGAGGCCGACCTCCTATATGTTGAACCACATTTGGATTTGGCATTAATACGTATACAGGAAATACCGTCACTGTTGTACACTCGGTCGACACCGATGCCCTGGACTACCGATTCGGGTTCGGGTAGTAGTAGTACCGAATTTGGTCAGCCAGTATCTATGTTAGGCAATGGCAATACTATATTGTTTGCACTGCACCCGGGTATGATTATGACACCCCGAGTCGATAACAATATGATACCTGATATTTATAACGTAAGTGTTATACCTTTTGGTGAAGATATGCCGGTAATAACACACAATACGGTCAATGTTCCCGGTTTTTCTGGTAGTCCACTAATCGATACCGATGGCCGACTGTGCGGCCTTACTTGGGGTGGTATTATAAAACGTGGTATTATTACCTGTGCTGTTGACTATAAAACATTAAAAGGTATACATATATAACATATGACATATGATTATCATAGAAAAATTGCTAATAGTATTACTAGATTTTTTTTTTAAATAAAATTTATTGATTACAGAGTTTATCACCAGAGCATTGACTTATGAAACAAATGGCATAAAACATAATCGTCTGACGGAACGGTATGAACTGGACATACGATCCGATAGTCAACTATTGGGTTTGATTTTATCGACAAAACCATTTTCGGGTAGTTTTATTGTCCGATCGGTTTTGCCCACTGTCTCTGATGAAGCAAAGTTTGTTACAATTATTTTTTTGTTTTTTTTTTTGTTGAATATATATATAAATATTTGTTTGTTTGTTTGTCTGGTTTTTTGAACATCAGAAGTATTATCGGCGCACGTGTTTTGAGAGTTTTTGGACACGAGTTGGACAGTATGGATGTCCTACGATTGGCTATCGATACTAATCCGGTAATCAAATTGTGGATCGGATTACCCACTGATGATGACAGTAGTGGTAGTAGTACTAGTAGTGGTAGTCGAGGGACAGTTAGAAATGATGACAGCATCAGCACTGTTAACATCAATACTATAGCACCCGTCGATTATCAAGGCTTTAGGATTAAACCATTAGTTATTTGAATGAAAAAAATCATTGTTTAGTCCAAAATTAAATAATAATTTAATGTATAATTATTTTCAACAACAACTACTGCAACAAACTTATTATATATTTTGTTTTTGTATTAATTTTATTGTAATAAACTTTAGTTTTACAAATTTGATGTAAATTGTCTAAAAAAACATTATTAAATATTTTTTTTTTGTTATTTTATTGTTATTTTTCCGTTTTTAGACTCAATTATTTATAGTGAAACAAAATTATTTAACTTTTTTTTTATAAAAAAAAAGTTTATTAGCTTAAATTAGTAGTTTTTAGTTTAATATTAGTAATTAATTTTAATTAATTTAAATAAATTTATTTTTTATAAGTAATAATAATAATATTATTTACATGTAAATTGCGTGCATAATATACATGTTTTATATATTTTTAAAAAAATTGTATATTCAGTTAAACAATTTGTATAAATTGTTTGTTTTTTTTATAAAAATTATTTTATTTAGTATTTCTAAACTAATTAATTAGCACCGGTAGTCAGTTAGTTATACTTTATAATTGTTAGATTATATTTACATATGTTATATACATTATCATCAACTATAATAAACCTAAGGTTTTCTGTTTATAAATTGTATAATACATAGTATAATACAATATATTTTAAAAACATTTTTTCAAAAAATCAAATCTTACAGATCGTTGAATATATTATGTATACCATTATGGATAGCATACAATAGGTTTCCATTGTTTATCTGGCAATCGGTTCAGACAACTACCAGTGCCCGATCAATGTCTGCCCTAAAAATACCACTCAATCGGTATCCGTGTCTTAGATCGGCGGCGCTTACGGACAACAACAATGGAAACACCATCGATAATGGTCTGGATATGATTGACCTAAAAAAACGTTGCATCAAATCGATAGCTTATGTCATACGGCCTACAATTAAAGACAATTGTATTGTTAGCGGTACGGGAACCGGTGTTTTTGTTGTCGACAATCGTCTACTGTTGACCTGCTATCATGTGGTCAAACATAGGCCAGTAGTTTGGGTTCAATGTGTGGCAATGTATTGGAATCAGTTAGTAATGACTACACCCTTGATTGAGGCCGACGTCGTGTACGTCGAGCCGCACTGGGATCTGGCATTAGTCAGACTCCATGAGCTGCCATCACAACCGTATAAAATGTTGACCACAATGCCGATGACTACCAGTCCAGAGAGTACCGATTTTGGCGCACCCGTAGCCATGCTTGGACACGGCAATAGTATACTGTTTACATTACACCCGGGTATGATTACTACACCCCGGGTACCCCAACACAATCTGATACCAGCTAAACACGATGCTAGTAGTGTAGCATATTTTTCGGAATTACCGGTCATAACACACGATACTATAGTTGCGGCCGGTTTTTCCGGATGTCCTCTAATCGATACCGATGGCCGATTGTCGGGTTTGCTTTGGGGTGGTATCCTAGAATGTGGACAGGTAGCTCTAGCTGTCGACTATAAAATATTGACAGGTATATTGAACGATATATATATATATATATATACTGTAATTATATTTATCTATAACTATTTTATTTTAATTTTATACAGAGTTTATAACTAAAGCACTGACTTATGAAAGAGATGGACTAAAACAAATAAGTTATGGGGAACGGTATGTATTGGACAATAGGGACAGCGACAAGCGATTATTGGGTTTGATTTTCTCTACACAACCATTTTCGGGTAGTTTTACTGTCCGATCGGTTTTGCCCACAGTTTTAGATGAAACAAAGTTTGTTTACCAATTAAAAAGCAAAAACAAAAAAAAATGTTTATATTTTTAGTAAAATTTTAAATAAATATTTTATGTTTGTTTTGGTCGACACACCAGAAGTATTATCGGCTCACGTGTTACCAAAGTTTTTGAACACGTGTTCAACAATATTGACGTCATCCGATCGGCTATCGGTAGTAATCGGGTAATAAAATTGTCGATTGGATTACCCACTGATGATGACAATAGTAGTGGTGGTGGTAGTCAAGGGACGACAGTTATAAATGACAGCATCAGCTCTATTAACATCAATACTATAGCACCCGTCGATAACCATGGCTTTAGGATTAAACCATTAGTTTTTTGAAATACTATATTTATTTTTTAGTTTATAATCTAAAATAGTTTTATTAATTAATTAATTATAGTTTGTTTACTGTTTGTAGAAATGTATTGTAAGAGTTAATCGCGTGAATAATATATATTTTTTTTTGAATTTTACTATTATTTTATAATACAGACATTTTTTAAAAATTAAACTATAGTTATATTTGTTTTATTCCAATACTTAATACCTTTAATAGCACCGGTAGTTAGTTTGTTGTACTTTACTTTATTGATTACTTGATACTTAACTATGTATACATTGTTATCAACTATAAGAAATCATCGGTTAGTTATATATAAGTAATAGAGATAATAGTTTATATAAAGTTTTATTTCAAACATTTGTTTTACGATAATATATTATTTTAGATCAATGGGTATATTATGTATACCATTATCAATGGTTTGGATGACATACCATAATAACAAGTATAAGCCATCGTTTCAGACAACATCCAGTGTCCGACTATTGTCTCCAAAAGCTAACAATCGTTATCATTGTCTTAGATCGGCGGCGCTTATGGAGGTCAACAATAATACCGGCGCCAATACTATTGGCTTCGATATGATTGACCTGAAAACCCAATGCATCCAATCGATAGGTTTTGTTTTCAGACCACGAATCTATGATAATCGTACTATCAGTCAAGGAACTGGTGTTTTTGTAGTCGACAATCGTCTACTGTTAACCTGTTATCATGTGGTCAAACATAATCCGTTTGTTTTCGTTCAATATGTTCAAAGCTATGATAATCAGGGGTCGGATTCAGACTCAAAATCAATAATAAAATCACAACCGATCTTAAAGTTATGCCCTAAGAATGTGGCCGACATTTTGTATGTCGAACCGCACAATGATCTGGCATTAGTACGGCTCAGGGATCCGCCATCGCCTGCTTATAATACACCGACAACAATGCCGATAACTGACAGTCCAGTGAGTACCGATTTTGGTGCACCAGTAGCTATGATCGGTCATGGCGGAAGCGTACGGTATGTATTGCACCCGGGTATGGTTATTACACCCCAAGTCGACAACTATTTGATACCCATTGAGTACTATATAAGTGTTATACCGTTCAATGAAAAACTGCCGATCGTAGCCCACAGTACTGTCGTATTGCCCGGCAATTCGGGCGGTCCTGTCATCGATACCAATGGCCAAGTATGCGGTATATGTTGGGGAGGTGTTATAAGACGTGGACAGATATCGTTTGCAATCGGATCGGAAATATTGATGGGTATGAACTATATATTTAATATATATTTATAATATATATATATATATATTTATAATAAATATTAAATCAATTAATAAGTTATACAAATGTTTGTGAAAAAAAATTATTATTTTTCAGAGTTTATGGCTAAAGCATTGGCCTATGAAAGTGATGGTATAAAGCAAACCCGTCTCAGGGATCGGTATGAATGGGACAGTCGGGCTATTAGACAGATATTGGGTATAATTATAGATACAAAACCATTGTCGGATAGTTTTACAGTCACAGCGGCACTACCGACGGCCACAACTGATGCAAAGTTTGTTATTTAGTTATATATTATTTATTTTATTTTTTAAATTACAATTATTTGATTAATTTGTTTGTTTGTTTGAATGCACACATAAATAAATAAACACAAGTATTATTATCGGTAGACGTATTTGTTTAATTAACGGACAGGTATGCAATAGTATCGATAATATCCGATTGGCTATCGATAATAGACCGCATGTCAAAGTGACCACTAGTTGGTCTACCACTGATGATGACGACTACAGTACCGAAACACATAGTAATGACATCATTAAACTCATTGACATCAATACGATAACAACCATCGATAACAAGAGTACTTGTATTATACCATTAGTTTTTTGATTAAAAAATTAATTAATATAATAAATTAATTATAATATTTGTAAAAAATATAATTTAAGAGTAATCTCGTGAATAATAAATATTTTTTGAATGTTACTATAATTTTATATTTAATTTTGTAACTATAGTTATATTTGTTTTATTCTAATACTTCCAATACCTTAATAGCACCGGTAGTTAGTTGGTTGTACTTTACTTTATTTATTACATGCTTTAACTATGTATACATTGTTATCAACTAAAAGAAATTATCGGTTAGTTATATATATTATTGAAAACATAATAATTTATATTAAGTTTTAAGTTTGAAAAATATATTATTGCAGATCAATGGGTATATTATGTATACCATTATCAATGGTTTGGATGACATACCATAATAAGCATAAGCCATCGTTTCAGACAACATCCAGTGTCCGACTATTGTCTACAAAATCAAACAATCGCTATCATTGTCTTAGATCGGCGATTATGGTGGACAACAACAATGGACACATTGCCGATAATGGTTTCGATATGATTGATATGAAAACCCAATGCATCCGATCGATTGGTAGTGTTATAAGACCACGAATCTATGATAATATTATTAGCGGTCGAGGAACGGGTGTTTTTGTAGCCTACAATCGTCTACTGTTGACCTGTTATCATGTGGTCAAACATAATCCGTTTGTTTTCATTCAATATGTGAAAAGCTATGATAACCAGTGGTCAGATGATTCAGATTCAGATTCAGATTCAGATTCAGATTCAGATTCAGATTCAGATTCAGATTCAAAATCAAAATCAAAATTACGACAAATATTACAGTTATGTCCTAATAGTGTAGGAGACGTCCTGTATGTCGAACCGCACAATGATCTGGCATTAGTACGGCTCAGGGATCCGCCATCGCCTGAATATAATACGTCGACACTAATGCCGCTGACTATCAGTCCAGAGAGTACCGATTTTGGTGCACCAGTAGCTATGATCGGTCATGGCGGAAACGTACTGTTTGCACTGCACCCGGGTATGGTTATTACACCCCAAGTCGACAACTATTTGATACCTATTAACTATTATATAAGTATTGTATCGATCAATAAAAAACAGCCGATCGTAACCCACAATACTATCGTATTGCCCGGTAATTCGGGCGGTCCTGTCATCGATACCAATGGCCGATTATGCGGTATTTGTTGGGGCGGTATTATAAAACGTGGACAGATATCGTATGCAATCGGCACTCATAGATTGATAGGTATTAACTTTATATTCAATATATATTTATATAATGATTATTCACTCAATTAATAAGTTATACAAATTTGATGACAGTATTAGTAAAGTTTTATTATCTATTTATTTTCAAAATACAGAGTTTATGGCTAAAGCATTGGCCTATGAAAGTGTTGGTATAAAGCAAACCCGTCTCAGGAAACAGTATGAATGGGACAGTCGTATCGTTACACAAATATTGGGTATAATTATAGATACAAAACCATTGTCAGATAGTTTTACAGTCACAGCGGCACTACCGACGGCCACAACTGATGCAAAGTTTGTTTAGTATTTAGTTATATATTATTTATTTATATTTTTAAAATTATAATTATTTGATTAATTTGTTTGTTTGTTTGGATGCACACAATAAATAACTAAACACCAGTGGTATTATCGGTAGACGTATTTCTTTACTTAACGGACAGGTATGCGATAGTATCGATAATATCCGATTGGCTATCGATAATAGACGGCAAGTCAGAGTGACCACTAGATTGTCGACCAGTAATGATGACGACTATAGTACCGACGAAACACATAGTAAGGACATCATTAAAGTCGTTGACATCAATACGATAACAACCATCGATAACGAGAGTACTAGTATTATGCCATTAGTTTTTTGATAAAAAATTTATTAATACTATTTGTAAAAATATAATGTTAGAGTAATCGCGTGAATAATATAATTTTTTTAAACTTGTATTTTATTAAACTATAATTATATTTGTTTTATCCCAATACTTAATACCTTTAATAGCACCGGTAGTTATTTAGGTTGTACTTTACTTTATTGAATACTTTATACTCAACTATGTATAAATTATTATCAACTATAAGAAATCATCGGTTAGTTATATATAAGTGAAAAAATAGTATTTTATATTAAGTTTTATTTTAAACATTTTCATTTACGGTATATATATTATTGCAGATCAATGGGTATATTATGTATACCCTTATCAATGGTTTGGATGATATACCATAATAACAAGTATAAGCCATCGTTTATCTGTCAATCGTTTCAGACAACATCCAGTAGTGTCCGACTATTGTCTCCAAAAACAAACAATCGGTATCATTGTCTTAGATCGGCGGCCAACCATAAAACCGCCGCCGATATTGGCTTCGATATGATTGACATGAAAACCCAATGCATCCGATCGATAGGTTGGGTTATAAGATACCGAATTAATAATAAAATTAATATTATGAGCGGTCGAGGAACGGGTGTTTTTGTCGACCATCGTCTACTATTGACCTGTTATCATGTGGTCAAACAAAATCCGTTTGTTTTCGTTCAATATGTTCAAAGCTATGATAATCAGTGGTCGGATGATTCAGATTCAGATCCAAAATCAAAATCACAACAAATATTAAAGGTATGTCCAAATAGTGTAGCCGAAGTACTGTATGTCGAACCGTACAATGATCTGGCATTAGTACGGCTCAGGGATCCTGAATGGCCTGAATATAATACGTCGACAATAATGCCGGTGTCTACCAGTCCTGATAGTATCGATTTTGGTGCACCAGTAGCTATGCTAGGTCATGGCGGTGGCCTACGGTTTACATTGCAACCGGGTATGGTTACCACACCCCGTGTTGATAGCTATTTGATACCTATTAACTATTATATAAGTTTGGTAACCATCAATGAAAAACTGCCGATCGTAGCCCACAGTACTATCGTATTGCCCGGCAATTCGGGCGGTCCGGTCATCGATAGCAATGGCAAACTATGCGGTATTTGTTGGGGCGGTATTACAAGTCGTGGACAGATATCGTTTGCAAACGGCTCGCAACCATTGATAGGTATGAACTATATTTATATACAGTATCTATATTTAATATATACCGTATATATATATATAATGATTATTAAATTTATTAATAAGTTATACAAAAAACTTGATGACAGTATTAGTAAAATTTTTATTATGAAATATACAGAGTTTATAGATAAAGCTTTGGCCTATGAAAGTAATGGTATAAAGCAAAACCGTCTCAGAAAACGGTATGAATGGGACAGTCGGGCCATTACACAAATATTGGGTATAATCGTTGATACAAAACCATTGTCGGATAGTTTTACAGTCACAGCGGCACTACCGACGGCCACAACTGATGCAAAGTTTGTTTAGTATTTAGTTATATATTATTTATTTTTTTAAAATTATAATTATTTGATTAATTTGTTTGTTTGTTTAAATCCACACAATAAATAAATAAACACCAGTGGTATTATCGGTAGACGTATTAGTTTACTTAACGGACAGGTATGCAATAGTATCGATAATATCCGATTGGCTATCGATAATAGACTGCAAGTCAGAGTAACCACTAGATTGTCGACCAGTGATGATGACGACAACAGTACCGAAACACATAGTAAGGACATCATTAAACTCGTTGACATCAATACGATAACAACCATCGATAACGAGAGCAATAGTATTATACCATTAGTTTTTTGATAAATTATTTTTTATTTTGTTTATTTATTTTATAATTTTAAAATTAATTAATTCTCATTATAATTATCTTTTTTTTAATACTCAATATATTTAGTGTATATAAAACTGTATAGTAATAGTTAAGTTTTTTTTGTTCAATTAATAATTTATTGTACAATAAATATATCAATATTTTTATTTTTAATATTTATTTGATTTGTGATTTGATTACTTATTGATTATTGTTTTTTGAATAAATTGTTGATTTATTATTTATTTTTATAAATTTGCTAAATGTTGATAATTTATGAAAAAGTGAATATTTTTTGCTAAATTTTGACAGTTTTGGGGAAATTTGGATATTTTTGAAAAAAAACTGATTAATGAGTAATTTTTATTAACTATAGTTTGTAATATTATACTAATTTAATGATTATATTGCAAGACATTACCATAACATTACCATAACATACCTGTCTATTATTTTGTAATTTTACAAATAAACAAAAATTTGTACACATTTTTAGACAACATTTTGTTTTGTTTTATTTATTTACATATATTTAAAACAAAGCATATCATTTGATTTTAGAAATATTTATCAAAAAAAAAATTAAAATAAAAAATTATTTGAATATTAATAACATTAAACAAATGGTTAATAATCGGTTAACAAAAATAATGTGTTATTTTACTATTTATTTTTTTAATTAAAAAACAAACGGTATAACCCTATCAACTAATGTTGGTGCTGTTTGAGGGTCGGGTGCTGTCAATTCAATGTGATTCATACTACCTTTACGTGGCCTTTGACCTGAGTGTCCGGCATCTCCTTCTTCTTCTTCTCTTTCTTCTTCTCTATCGAACCGTAACACCAATTGGACAGTTAGACTATGATTGAGTGCTTCAGTCAATTGATCGATATTTCTGAACAACTGTCCCGAAACGTGTTCAATACGGGCGCCGACATATGCACTATAATAATAATAATGATAATAATAATAATTAATTAAATTAATTAAACCAACTGTTCAATAATAACTAACTGTGCATTTTCTGCTGGATTTGGTAGCACTGATTTGACAGTAAATAGTCCGCCGATTTCTGATTGCAAAACAAAACCCAATAGTCGCCGATCGGCCGGTCTGTCCGATTCATACAGTTGTCGCAAACGGTTTTGCCGGACATGTTGGCTATAATATAGGTAACCTCTGTTCAAAAAATCTGTATAAATAAATAAATACATAAATCATATAATAATAATAATTGAAATTATAAGTGAAATCATAAAGAATTTTTTAAAAATTTAAAATTAAATATTTTTTTAAAAAATAATAAAAAATGCTCTTTGACTTATACTAACATATAACATAATATATTAATGTACAGCACCTGCCTACCTGTCCCTAAAACATTACATCCCTAAAACAGAGACTATTAGCTTAAAGTGTTATATATCTTGTTTTTGAAGTTTTTAATAACTTATATAATAACTAATGTAATATACAGCACCTGCCTATAATAACTGTGTATCATATTATATGTTTGTATGTTTGAATATACATACGTATTAAACTTTGATAATAAGTGCCAACTTTAGGGTAATCATTGGATAATACTCCACCAAAATGAATGCCAATAATATTATAGTTGACATCAACTATAGGTGAACCCGAATGTCCGGGAATAGTACGGGATTTATGTACGACAAACAGTTCCCGTTTGTCTAAAATATCGCTTAACGGTTCATAATTTGTCGCACTTATAGTATCAATTGGTGTATATGCAGTTATGTAGCCGACACTGATTAACCACCCCTGATAATCACCGTGACCCATAATGGCTACCGATTCGCCCAATTCCAGTGGACGATTGGCCAGTTTGAATGGCAACTGCAACTGGAATCTAGTATAGTCCAATTCATATAGTTGTATGATTGCCAGATCCAGATGCCGTTCAACATATAAAACTCGGACCATAGATCTATTAGACATTTCGACGGCCGACTGTTCAACTAACTGTATGGTCGGCGCTGAGAAGCTTGTAAAGCCTTCAATGTGTTGATAGCCTTGCACTACATGAGCATTAGTAACGGCCAAACGGCCAAACATGACTCCAGTTCCGATAAGTTTCAATTGCTGGTTATCGTAATATCGTTGACCAAACAAAACAATTACATTATTTTTGTAATTGTTTCCTAAGTATTCAATATTGATGTCAAACATGTGAGCCCTCCTCCGACTCAACCATTYAATCGRTGGCTTATTATYAGTATTATAATAATTGGCATTATTTCGATGGTTAGACATTTGRCCGWCCGATTGTTGCGACCAAATCATTGTCGGCAACAGTGGTGACGACTGTTTGTTGGCCAGTTGTCGGCGATTTCTATTATATACAGCCGTRAATGATGTTACAGCCAATGAAGCCGCCGATGACGATAACAGAATATTTCTGGAAATATTTTATTACTAAATTTATTAATTATTTTTTTAATTATTTAATTAATCTTTTAATAGAAATGCTTAGAAACACTAAACAGTAGTAGTAATTAATTAATACAGTAATTGGTTTCTGTCTGGACATACCTTAGTTTTATTTTAGTTAAATACAAAATCATTGTTTTTTTTTTATTATAGAAAGTATTTGAAACAATAATTTTCATTCAAAAAACAAAAAATTATGAAAACTTTATAAACTAACTGTCAATTTATTATAAATATAATTAACTTAATTTTATGTAAAAAATATAATGTAAGAGTAATCGCGTGAATAATATTTAAAAAATAAAATAAAACTAAAATTATATTTGTTTTATTCCAATACCTTTAATAGCACCGGTAGTTAGTTAGGTTGTACTTTAATTTATTGATTAGCGCTTTAACTATGTATACATTATTGTCAACTATAATAAATCATCGGTTAGTTATATATAATAGTGAAAACAAAATATTTTATATATATATATTAAGTTTTTAATTTATTTATTTTACTGTAATATATTATTGCAGATCAATGGGTAAATTATGTATACAATTATCAATGGTTTGGATGACGACATACAATACTAATAAGCCATCGTTTAAGACAACATCCAGTTGTCCATCAATGGTGTCTTCTAAGACACCAAACATTGGGTATCATTGTTTTAGATCGGCGGCACTGATGATGGACAACAATGGACACATAATTGCCGATAATGTTGGCTTCGATATGATTCACCTGAAAACCCAATCGATCCGATCGATAGGTTGGGTTATAAGACCACGACTATTTGATAATATTATTAGCGGTCGAGGAACTGGCGTTTTTGTTGTCGACAATCGTCTACTGTTGACCTGTTATCATGTGGTCAAACATAATCCGTTTGTTTTCGTTCAATATGTAAAAAGCTATGATAACCAGTGGTCAGATGATTCAGATTTAGATCCAGATTCAGATCCAGATTCAGATATAGATTCAGATATAGATTCAGATATAGATTCAGATATAGATTCAGATATAGATTCAGATATAGATTCAGATATAGATTCAGATATAGATTCAGATATAGATTCAGATTCAGATTCAGATTCAGATTCAGATTCAGATTCAGATTCAGATTCAGATTCAGATTCAGATTCAGATTCAAAAACAAAATCAAAATCACGACAGATATTAAAATTATGTCCTATGGGTGTAGGAGACGTCCTATATGTCGAACCGCACAATGATCTGGCATTAGTACGGCTCAGGGATCCGATATCGCCTGAATATAATACGTCGACAACAATGCCGGTGACTACCAGTCCAGATAATATTGATTTTGGTGCACCAGTAGCTATGTTAGGTCATGGCGGAGGCCTACGGTTTGCAATGCATCCGGGTATGGTTATTACACCACAAGTCGACAACTATTTGATACCCATTGCCTACTACTTAAGTACTGTATCGATCAATGAAAAACTGCCGATCGTAGCCCACAGTACTATCGTATTGCCCGGCAATTCGGGCGGTCCTGTCATCGATACCAATGGCCAGGTATGCGGTATTTGTTGGGGAGGTATTATAATACGTGGACAGATATCGTTTGCAATCGGCTCACAAATATTGATGGGTATGAACTATATTTATATACAGTATATATATATAATGATTATTAAATCAATTAATAAGTTATACAAAAAAACTTGATGACAGTATTAGTAAAATTTTTATTATGAAATATACAGAGTTTATAGATAAAGCATTGGCCTATGAAAGTAATGGTATAAAGCGAACCCGTCTCAGGAAACGGTATGAATGGGACAGTCGTACTGTTACACAAATATTGGGTATAATCGTAGATACAAAACCATTGTCGGATAGTTTTACAGTCACAGCGGCACTACCGACGGCCACAACTGATGCAAAGTTTGTTATTTAGTTATATTTATTATTTATTTTTTATTCAATTATAATTTTTTGATTAATTTGTTTGTTTGTTTGGATGCACACAATAAATAAATAAACACCAGTGGTATTATCGGTAGACGTATTTGTTTACTTAACGGACAGGTATGCAATAGTATCGATAATATCCGATTGGCTATCGATAATAGATTGCAAGTCAGAGTAACCACTAGATTGTCGACCAGTGATGATGACGACTACAGTACCGACGAAACACATAGTAAAGACATCATTAAACTCATTGACATCAATACGATAACAACCATCGATAACGAGAGTACTAGTATTATGCCATTAGTTTTTTGATAAAAATAAATAAATAAATTTCCAATAAATTCCTCATAAATTTCCAATAAATTCCTTATAAATTTCCAATAAATTCCTTATAAATTTCCAATAAATTCCTCATAAATTTCCAATAAATTCCTTATAAATTTCCAATAAATTCCTTATAAATTTCCAATAAATTCCTTATAAATTTCAAATTAATTCCTCATTAATTTTCAATATATTCCACTGATAACTGTATTACTGGCGCTGGTAGTCAAAGGATTACTGATTATTTGAAATAATATATTTGTTTTTCAGAATATAATCAAAATAAAATAGTTTATTATTAATTACTTAATTATACAATTATACTATTTGTAATCGCGTGGATAATATTTTATTTTGAATTTTTCTATAATTTATATTTTATTTTTTAATTAAACTATAGTTATTACAAGTTTATTCCAATACTTAATACCTTTTAATAGCACCGGTAGTTAGTTAGGTTGTACTTTACTTTATTGATTTCATTGATTGTTAACTAATGTATACATTATTATCAACTATAAGAAATCAGAGGTTAGTTAGTATCATATTAGTGAAAACATAATATTTTTTACTGTAATATATAATTGCAGATCAATGGGTATATTATGTATACCATTATCAATGGTATGGATAACGACATACAATAGTAAACCATTGTTTAAGACAACAACCAATGGTCGATCATTGTCTGCCACCAAAACATCAAACAACAATCGGTATCATTATTTTAGATCGGCGGCGCTTATGGACACCAATGGACACCACATCGCCGATAATGGCTTCGACATGTTTGACCTGAAAGCCCAATGCATCCGATCGATAGGTTTGGTTATAAGAACTCGAATATACGATAGTATTATTATCAGTCGAGGAACGGGTGTTTTTGTCGACAATCGTCTACTGTTGACCTGTTATCATGTGGTCAAACATAATCCGTTTGTTTTCGTCCAATATGTTCAAAGCTATGATAATCAGTGGTCAGATGATTCAGATTCAGATTCAGATTCAAAAACAAAATCAAAATCAAAATCAAAATCAAAATCAAAATCAAAATCAAAATCAAAATCAAAATCAAAATCAAAATCAAAATCAAAATCAAAATCAAAATCAAAATCAAAATCAAAATCAAAATCAAAATCAAAATCAAAATCAAAATCAAAATCAAAATCAAAATCAAAATCAAAATCAAAATCAAAATCAAAATCAAAATCAAAATCAAAATCAAAATCAAAATCAAAATCAAAATCAAAATCAAAATCAAAATTACGACAAATATTACAGTTATGTCCTAATAGTGTAGGCGACGTCCTGTATGTCGAACCGCACAATGATCTGGCATTAGTACGGCTCAGGGATCCTGAATCGCCTGAATATAATACGTCCGAAACAATGGCGATAACTGACAGTCTAGATAGTATCGATTTTGGTGCACCAGTAGCTATGTTAGGTCACGGCGGAAGAGTACGGTTTGCATTGCATCCGGGTATGATTATTACACCCCAAGTAGACAACTATTTGATACCCATTGCCTACTACTTAAGTGTTGTACCGTTCAATAAAAAACTGCCGATCGTAGCCCACAGTACCATCTCATTGCCCGGCAATTCGGGCGGTCCTGTCATCGATATCAATGGCCAAGTATGCGGTATTTGTTGGGGAGGTATTATAAGACGTGGACAGATATCGTTTGCAATCGGCTCACAAATATTGAAAAGTATAAACTATATATTAATTATATATATATATATATATATATATATATATATATATATATATATATAATTAATAAGTTATACAAAAAACTTGTTGACATTATTAGTAAATTTTTTATTATTATTTATTTTCAAAATAAAGAGTTTATGGCTAATGCATTGGCCTATGAAAGTGATGATAGAAAACGCAACCGTCTCAGGAAACGGTATGAATGGAACATTGGGTCCAATAGACGACTATTGGGTTTGATTTTATCTGAACAACCGTTTTCCGGTAGTTTTACTGTCCAGACAGCACTGGCCAATGCTACATATAAAGCAAAGTTAGTTGTGTTTTTTGTTGTTGTGTATAATGTATACCTATTTTTTCTAACAATAAATTAATTATTTGTTTGTGTGTCCAAACACACACCCATACAGACATATAATCGGCACTAATGTACTGAAAATCGATAGACAAGACTTCAATACTATCGATATTATCCGATCGGCTATTGTTAATGAAACGGTAATAAACGTTTCGTTTAGGTATCCGACTGATGATGAAGACAATAGTCAAACGGGTAGAAAGTCGAGCACCCAATCCATTAGCATCGATACTATACCATCAACTGATAATCAGGGCATTAGTATTATACCATTAGTTATTTGATTAATAAAGTTATAAATTATTTATTACTATTTTTTTAACATTAATTATTAGACTGTATATAAATATAATTTTTCTATAAGTTATTTATTTCAATGTATAATAAGATACATGTATATTTATTAAAAAAAATATATTAATAATAATTGTAGAATTATTTTATATATGATATTTAAAATAAAACCAGTTAAGAATGCTAGAAAGCATTTTCAGAAAAAAAACTTGAATAACATTGAAAACTATTAGTTTGTATAATTATAGCGGCTATATAGTAACATATAAAAATTTAAAAACTGATTAAATATACATAATTTAAATATTGTCATCAAAGTTATCAAATGATTTAGTATATAAAATCAACAGCTAAAATCATACTTTTGCCGCCATTTTTCTTAAAAATAAAATAATTTTGAGCTATATTTTATTTTTGATGCTCTATACAATTCTAAAAGTTAAAATTTTTACCTAAATTTTTTTTACTTTGGCCGCCATTTTTCTCTATGTTCCCGAAGGGATATCAAAATTTTAATGCATATTTCTTATGCTTGTTTTTGATGCTTTATTTAAATCTAAACTTTAAAAAAATAATTCTAAAATTTTTTATACTTTGGCCGCCATTTTGTCTATGTTCCCGAAAAGATAGATCATTTTTGACGCAACTTTTCAATACATTATTAGTAGTCCTCTAACCGAATCTGAAGTCAGAATTTCAAAATTCGCAAAAAAATGCTACAGACACACAGACACACACAAAAAGCCATTATAGATTTCAGTAAACAAAACTTTTCAAGTTTTTTTTTTGAAAATATTTTCCATAAGTTTTACTGTTTTATATTTACAACTATTTAATAGTATAGCAAATATTATATTAAGTATTATTATTAATATTATTTTTTTTTTTTTGAATTTTTTTATGTGTATCTTATTTTCTTATTTAAGGGTAATTGATTTAGTATATTTATTTTGATTTTTTTATGTAAACATTTATATAAAAAAAAATTATTATTTAGCTAAATCATTAAATAAAATACTATATGATTAACGATTATGATGATTTCCATGACTTTTTGATTTTTATTTATTATTATTATTATTATTATTATTTACAAATTAACATAAAAGTTACCTAGTTTTATTAATAATCATTTAATACTACAAAAATTTTTTTATTGTAATATAAAAAATAATAATAATTATATCAATTATGAAACTAGTATTTTTTAAAAAAATATATGTATTTTTTGTTGTTGTTGTCGTTGACTAACAGCTAGTAATTACAGGAAAATTAATTTTATATATTTATATACTGTATATATACAGTATATATCAAACTCAATGGATAATAATAATAATAAACAAATATCTCTATCATATAAATATTTAATAACAATATGTTTATTTATTTCGTTGTTTATAACTGTAAATTAACTTATACAACCCACCCACCCACTCACCCACCCCCCTAAAAAACAATTAATTAATTTTTTTTTTATTTTTCAATATATTTTTAATTAATTTTTTTTTATTAAATTAAACTATTTAACCAATAATAATAATAATTATATTAATTATTTTTTAGAAACTACCCAATCGTATAATGAGTGCATCGATGACCGATTTTCAACTAATATATGGCATAACATTAAAACAATTATCATTGGTATTAGTAGTCAATAATATTGTATCAATGATTGGATCAACAGGTAATCTTGTATTTATTTTAATTTATTTTAATTTTTTGTTAATTTTTTTTTGACTAAAAAATATATATAGTGTATATATTAATAAATACACTAGATAACTTTTTTTAAAATATGCTATTGATATGACTAATGTAAAGATAAATAATTTACATTAAGTTAACTATTAATATTATAAGATTATTTGAGCATGCTAAAATACTTTATAATGCCTAAATTTTGTTTTTTTTAAATATGTAAACAATTATTTATTTACTTTTTTTTTAAATTAACCTGGACATCATACATTGTGTATATAATTAAAAATTATTAAAAGTTATTATTAATAAAATTAATATTTAAGTTAAAGGTAAAGTTAAAAAATTAAAAGTTTTTTATTGATATAATTTAATATATAAAGTGTGTAAAAATAATACAGTAGTTTACAATTATTACAATTACAATACTAACTATAAATTTATTTTACAACAAAACAAACATTTTTTTAAAAAAAAAATATTTAATATTTTTATTAATAATTTAATAGTATTATTACTATTATTATGTAATTTCTCTATAATATATATAGTCGGTCTACTAACAAGTTATGTTAACAAACATTTAGTATATACTATAAGTTTGTTAGCCTATGGCTTATGTAGGTCAGTATCGGCCAGTTTACCCAACTATGGTTGGCTGATGACAATAGTACCACTGTCGGGTTTGTTTGAAGAGGGCTATTTTCTAATCAAAAATTTATGGATAATAGAAATGTGGTCAAAACAGTCGGGTCCCTATTTGCAGGCAATAAATCTGGCCGAAAGTCTGGCCAATATAGTCGGGCCAGTACTGGCCAATCCGTTTTTATCTAACATCACACAAAATACTATACAAACTATTCATAATAATAATACTATCGTTTATTACAACAAATCTTTAATATATATACCGATACTAATTACTGGATCTCTAACTGTCGGTTGCGGCATATTTTTGGCTATACTCTACTGTTTCAAACGGTATGAGCCGATAGTCATCAAAGTACATGAAACTACTACTACCACTACTACTACTACTAAGTGTTTAGCATCTGATAAATCATTATCACTATTATCACCACTAATATCAAAACTATTGGATCGTTTACATAGAGAACTGGTACCCAATGTCTATCAATTCAGTCAATTGCTAATGTTATCAATAATATTGGGTTTGATTTGTGTACTACAATCGCCACTGTATTATTTGTCAACATTTGGACAGTTATCTCCCATACAAATGACCCAACAATCAGCTGCTTATCTGGTTTCAGGATTTTCAATAGCATCGGCCAGCAGTCAACTGGTTTGTATAGCTGTAACCAAATACCTGAACGACAACTTACTAATGTATATATGTATGTCAGTCATACTAATCGCGCAACTATTGTATCTATTATTGTTGGCCTACAATTCCCTGACCATCATATGGACGGCTAGCATACTGTTTGGTATTGGTTACGGACCACTAGCCGGTTGTCTATTAAATTATATGCAACTACTGTTACCGGTTACCGATATGGTTGGCATGTTTTATACAATTATTATGTATATGATGTTCATTATAATGATTGAATTGTTGGGTATTTATATAACTTACGATAGTATGTCTTATGTCTATTGTAATCTATTAGCTACTAGTTTAGCAATTATTTTGCTAATTTGTGTCGATATTAGAAAATATTTATATAATAATAATATTAGTAATAATAATAATAATAATAAGTTATAAATATTATTTTATTAAGACACACAGTTTTATACACATACTCTACCGTATCAATTATTTATTTAAAAAAAAATAAATACTATTTAATAGTTTTATAATTGATATAATCATTTATTATATAATTAGTTTTTTTTGTGTTTTGTTTCACAATATTAATTGTAAAATGTATTATAAAATATTTGATGCTAATTTGTAAATAATAATATTGTAATAATCGTTAATCATATAGTATTTTATTTAATGATTTAGCTAAATAATAATTTTTGTTTATAAATGTTTACATAAAAAATAAAATAAATATATTGTTAAATAAGAAAATTAAGATAAACATAAAAATAAACATAAGATCACTAATATAATTATTAATATTTAAAAAAATAAATAAATATGTTTTAAAATATACATTGAAATAATAACTTATAATATACAATATAAATAATTAATGTTAAAAATAACTAATATCAAACTATATTTATCAAATAACTAATGGTATAATACTAATGCCGTGATTATCAGTTGATGGTATAGTATCGATGCTAAGGGATTGGGTGCTTAACTTTCTACCCGTTTGACTATTATCTTCATCATCAGTCGTATACCTAAAACAAACGGTTATTACCCTATCATTAACAATAGCCGATCGGATAATATCGATAGTATTGAAGTCTTGTCTACCGATTTTCAATACATTAGTGCCGATAATATTTCTGGTGTTTAGGACAGACACACAAATAATAATTAATTTATATATATATATAAAATAGGTATACATTATACAACCAACAAAAAAAACACAAACAAACTTTGCATTATTTGTAGCACTGGGCAGAGCTGTCTGTACAGTAAAACTACCCGAAAACGGTTGTTTAGATAAAATCAGACCCAATAGTCGTGTATTGGACCGAATGTCCCATTCATACCGTTTCCTGAGACGGTTATGCTTTCTACCATCACTTTCATAGGCCAATGCATTGGCCATAAACTCTGTATTTTGAATAATAAATAAATAATAAAAATTTACTAATACTGTCAACAAGTTTTTTTTGTAATTTATAACTTATTATATATATATATATGTGTATATATATATCATTATAAATATATAGTTCATACCCTTCAATATTTGTGTGCCGATTGCAAACGATATCTGTCCACGTCTTATAATACCTCCCCAACAAATACCGCATACCTGGCCATTGGTATCGATGACAGGACCGCCCGAATTGCCGTGCAATGAGATAGTACTGTGCGCTATGATCGGCTGTTTTTCATTGATGGGTACAACACTTAAGTAGTAGGCAATGGGTATCAAATAGTTGTCGACTTGGGGTGTAATAACCATACCCGGGTGTAGTGCATATCGTACGTTTCCGCCATGACCTAGCAGAGCTACTGGTGAACCAAAATCGGTACTCTCTGGACTGGTAGTCAACGGCATTGTTGTCGACGTATTATACATTGGTGATGGCGGATCCCTGAGCCGTACTAATGCCAGATCATTGTGCGGTTCGACATATAGGACGTCCCCTACACCCATAGGCCATAACTGTAATATCTGTCGTGATTTTGATTTTGTTTTTGAATCTGAATCTGAATCTGAATCTGAATCTGAAACTGAATCTGAATCTGAATCTGATTTTGAATCTGAATCTAAATCTGAATCTAAATCTAATTCTGAATCTGAATCATCTGACCACTGATTATCATAGCTTTTTACATATTGAACAAAAACAAACTGATTATGTTTGACCACATGATAACAGGTCAACAGTAGACGATGATCGACAAAAACACCCGTTCCTCGACTCATAATAACATTATCGTATATTCGAGTTTTTATAACCCAACCTATCGATCGGATGCATTGGGCTTTTAGGTCAATCATATCGAAGCCATTATCGGCGGCGGTGTGGTGTCCATTTGTGTCCATAAGCGCCGCCGATCTAAGACAATGATACCGATTGTTGTTTGGTGTTTTGGTGGCAGACAATGATCGACTAATGGATGTTGTATTAAATGATGGCTGCTTATTATGGTATGTCATCCAAACCATTGATAATGGTATACATAATATACCCATTGATCTGCAATAATATATTTTTCAGACTTAAAACTTAATATAAAATAATATAAAGTAATATAAAATATTATGTTTTACACTAATATATATAACAAACCTCTGGTTTCTTATAGTTGATAATAATGTATACATAGTTAACAATCAATGAAATCAATAAAGTAAAGTACAACCTAACTGACTACCGGTGCTATTAAAGGTATTAAGTATTGGAATAAAACAATTATAACTATAGTTTTATTTAAAAAAAAAAAATATATTATTCACGCGATTACTCTTACATTATATTTTATAAATAGTATATATTGTATTAACTTGTATTGTAATACTAGAATTTATTGATAAAAAAAATTTAGAATTTGATATATAATTAAATATACTGTAAAATATTTATAAAAAAAACATTGTTTTAATTTAGCTAAAATTAATTGTTTATTATACGTGATAAATTAAATATTAATTTTGAAAATTTATTCAAACAAACAATAAAACTTACAATTAATATTTTAAAATTGATAAATTTTGTGATTAAATTTATTATTAATATATTAATAATTGAACCCGAATTGTAAAGCAAATGTTTTTGTTGTTGTAATAAAATAAAACTTTTTAAATGTCAAAAAAATTAATTAATATCTTAATCGACAAACCATTGACTGTAAAACATCGGCGATTGACGGCACTGTTAACCGTACCGGTAGTGATGATGATAACTACCGTTGAAAACAATCGATGGACAGCAACCACAACAACAACAACAACGAAGACTATGATAGATAGATATGCATATAAACACTGGTCATCGATGATAACGACATTATCGTCGGTTATTGGTTTCCGATTATTACGACCTAAGTATCGATGGCGGCTAAGATCGGCGATACAATTGGACGACAACAACAACGATTACATCGATATTGTTGACCTGAAAAATCGGTGCATCCATTCAATAGCGATTGTATTGTGCGGTAAATATGAATCCTATCGTATGAAATCAGTATCGGCGGGTATATTCATTGGCCAACCGACGGATAGGCTAGTGGTAACCTGTAGTCACGGTATCCGAGACTCGCCAGTGGCTACTGTCCAACATATACTTAGCTATGTATCGCAAACGGGTACGAAACAGATATCCGATCAAATCGATGCCGATGTACTGTACAGTGAGCCGTACTTAGATTTGTCATTAATATGGGTCAGGGATTGCGGCAATGATGAAGTTGACACATCAATTATAACAACGATGCCGTTTGCCGATACCTTGAATGAATTTGTGCGCTCAGGTAGTATCGTTCGGTCATGGCGGATCCATCAGATATATAGTACTACCGGGTATTATCCGGGATGCCATCAAATCGATGTCAATCGGTAATCGATAAACTATGTGTTTACTATTCGGACGAATCAGCGTCGATAACACATTCGGCCGTAATGTGGCCGGGATTTTCCATCGGTCCGCTTGTTGTCCACTGATTACCGTATATAACGTTTATATAAATACACAGTTAATTTTTAACACTATTAACATAATTACAGTCATATAAATAATTGATAAAAATATTATATTTAATAAAACATTTTTATGTATAATGAAAACTATATTTTTGATATTTAGTAATGTTTATCAACAACAAAAATAATACAAAAATTGTTTCAATATTATTAACATTGAAAAAAGTATTATAAAAAAATATAATAATGTAAAACAAAAAAAATAATGTGTTTATTTTATAACTTTTTAACCTAAAAAACAAACGGTATAACCCTATCAACCAGTGATGCTGTTGTTTGAGGGTCGGGTGCTGTCAATTCAATGTGATTCATACTACCTTTACGTGGCCTTTGACCTGAGTGTCCGGCCTCTCCTTCGTCTTCTTCTCTTTCAAACCGGATCACCAATTGGACAGTTAGACTATGATTGAGAGCTGCAGTCAATTGATCGATATTTCTGAACAACTGTCCCGAAACGTGTTCAATACGGGCGCCGACATATGCACTATAATTTCGTTGGTATAAAACAATAATTAATTAATTAATTATAATTACTGTTCAATAACTAACTGTGCATTTTTTGCTGGATTGGGAAGCAATGATTGGACAGTAAATAGTCCGCCGATTTCTGATTGCAAAACAAAACCCAATAGTCGCCGATCGGCCGGTCTGTCCGATTCGTACTGTTGTCGCAAACGGTTTCGCTTGACATCCGAGTGTTGGCTATGATATTGTAAACCTCTGTCTATAAAATCTAAAAAATTGAAATCATAATTGAAATCATAATTGAAATCATAATTGAAATCATAATTGAAATCATAATTGAAATCATAATTGAAATCATAATTGAAATCATAATTGAAATCATAATTGAAATCATAATTGAAATCATAATTGAAATCATAAATCTGTTATTTATATTTACTTATAACTGTCCGATAGTCGACGGCCATAAAGTTGACCTCCTTGTAGAAAATACAGCCCCACATAATACCGCAACAACGGTAATCAGTGTCGACAAGCGGACCGCCAGAAAATCCCGGCCACATTACCGCCGAATGTGTTATCGACGGCAATTCGTCCGAATAGTAAACGCATAGTTTATCGATAACCGATTGACATCGATTGGACGGCATCCCTGGTGATCGGATAATACCCGGTAGTACTATATATCTGATGGATCCGCCATGACCGAACGATACTACCTGTGCGCCAAATTCATTGGAGGTATCGGCAAACGGCATCGTTGTTATAACTGATGTGTCGACTTCATCATTGCAATCCCTGACCCGTATTAATGACAAATCTAGATGCGGCTCATTGTACAGTACATCGGCATCGATTTGATCGGATATCTGTTTAGTACCCGTTTGCGATACATAGCTAAGTATATGTTGGACAGTAGCTACTGGCGAATCACGGATACCGTGACTACAGGTTACCACTAGCCTATCCGTCGGTTGGCCAATGAATATACCCGCCGATACTGATTTCATGCGATAGGATTCGTATTTACCGCACAATACAATCGCTATTGAATGGATACACCGTTTTTTGAGGTCAACAATATCGATGTAATCGTTGTTGTTGTCGTCCAATTGTATCGCCGATCTTAGCCGCCAATGATGTCGTAATGATCGGAAACCAACCGACGATAATGTCGTTATCATCGATGACCAGTGTTTATATGGATATCTATCTGTCATTGTCTTCGTTGTCGTTGCTGTCCATCGATTGTTTTCAACGGTAGTTATCATCAACACTACCGGTACGGCTAACAGTGCCGTCAATTGCCGATGTTTTACAGTTAATGGTTTGTCGATTAAGATATTAATTAATTTTTTTGACATTAAAATGTTTTATTTTTAATTACAACAACAAAAACATAGCTTTCAAATTTGGGTTCAATTATATTAATAATAATAAATTTAATGAAAAAATTAACAAATTTAAAAAAACAATTAAGTTTTATGTTTGTTTGAATAATTTTTCAAATTTTATTTAATTTATCACGTATTATAAACAATTAATTTTACAATGTTTTATCATATATTGATATATTTGTTTTATATACATATATTTTATATACAGAATATTTATTATTTTTTATAAAAAATATTAATAAAAACTATTTACTGTTAATTTTATTAATAAAAAAACTGTGTCTTATTAAAATACATATTTATAATTTAGTATTATTATTATTATTATTATTGTGTAAATATTTTCTAATATCGACACAAATTAGCAAAATAATTGCTAAACTAGTAGCTAATAGATTACAATAGACATAAGACATACTATTGTAAGTTATATAAATACCTAACAATTCAATCATTAATATGAACATTATATACAAAATAATTGAATAAAACATGCCGACCATATCGGTAACCGGTAATATTAGTTGCATATAATTTAATATACAACCGGCTAGTGGTCCGTAACCAATACCAAACAGTATGCTAGCCGTCCATATGATGGTCAGGGAATTGTAGGCCAACAATAATAGATACAATAGTTGCGCGATTAGTATGACTGTCATACATATATACATTAGTAAGTTGTCGCTCATGTATTTGGTTACAACTATACAAACCAGTTGACTGCCGGCCGATGCTATTGAAAATCCTGAAACCAGATAAGCAGCTGATTGTTGGGTCATTTTTATGGGAAATAACTGTCCAAATGTTGACAGATAATACAGTGGCGATTGTAATACATAAATCAAACCCACTATTAGTGAACACATTAACAATTGACTAAAATGATAGACATTGGGTGCCAGTTCTCTATGTAAACGATCCAATAGTTTTGATATTAGTGGTGATAATAATAATGATTTATTAGATGCTAAACAATTAGTAGTAGTAGTAGTAGTAGTAGTAGTAGTAGTAGTAGTAGTAGTAGTAGTAGTTTCATCTACTTTGATGACAATCGGCTCATACCGTTTGAAACAGTAGAGTATAGCCAAAAATATACCGAAACCGACAGTCAGAGATCCAGTAATTAGTGTCGGTATATATATTAATGATTTGGTGTAATAAACGATAGTATTATTATTATTATTAATAGTTTGTATAGTATTTTGTGTGATGTTAGATAAAAACGGATTGGCCAGTACTGGCCCGACTATATTGGCCAGACTTTCGGCCAGATTTATTGCCTGCAAATAGGGACCCGACTGTTTTGACCACATTTCTATTATCCATAAATTTTTGATTAGAAAATAGCCCTCTTCAAACAAACCCGACAGTGGTACTATTGTCATCAGCCAACCATAGTTAGGTAAACTGGCCGATACTGACCTACATAGGCCATAGGCTAACAAACTTATAGTATAAACTAAATGTTTGTTTATATAACTTGTTAGTAGACCGACTATATATTATAGAGAAATTACATAATAATAATAATAATAAAATTTAAAATTTAAAATTTAAAATTTAAAAAAAACACTTAATTCTAATTATAAATACTTACAAATAATTGTTTAGTTTTGTTGTAAAATAAATTTATAGTTATCGTAATTGTAATCTACTGTATTTTGTTATACACTTTAAATAAATATATTTTTTAAAAAAATATTTTAAATATATAAATACCAACAACAACATTAAACAATTTAACATTATTAATTTAATTTATCATGCTCAAATAATCTAATAGTTAATTTAATGTAAATTATTTATCTTAACTTTTTTATTTATACAATTTAAATATTTTCTCAAATTCATCAATAGCATATTTAAAAAAAAATTTAAACAAGTTATCTAGTGTATTTATTATTATATACTGTATATATACTGTATATATTCGGTCGCACTCATAAGATCTAAACTCATTTGACCCAAACTTATTTGACCCAAATCATTTGACCCAAACTTATTTGACCCAAATCATTTGACCCAAACTCATTTGACCCAAACTTATTTGACCCAAATCACTTGACCCAAATCATTTGACACAAATCACTTGATCTAAATCATTTAACCCAAACTTAATTGACCCAAATATTTATTATTTTATTTTTTCGAACTATAATTATATATAAATAATATAAAACTTAATAATTTTATTTAATTAATTATATAAATAATATAATCTATTTAATCTATAAAATAATTTAGAACTTAATAATATTAAGTTATTACATATTTATTTTTAAAAAAAATAAAAAACCAGAAATATTTCCAATTATTAAGTTTGTATTATTTATATATAATTATATAGTTTGAAAAATAAAATAATAAATATTTGGGTTAAATAAGTTTGGGTCAAATGAGTTTGGGTCAAATGAGTTGGGTCAAATAAGTTTGGGTCAAGTGATTTGGGTCAAATGAGTTTGGGTCAAATGAGTTGGGTCAAATAAGTTTGGGTCAAATGAGTTGGGTCAAATAAGTTTGGGTCAAATGAGTTTAGATCTTATGAACTAGACCCGTATATATTATTTAGTCATAAAAAAATAATTAATTTTTTTAATTTTAAATTTATAAAAACCAACAAAACAAAATTAATAAAAAAAAATTTTAAAAATATAATAAAAACAAATACAAGATTACCTGTTGATCCAATCATCGATACAATATTATTGACTACTAATACCAATGATAATTGTTTTAATGTTATGCCATATATTAGTTGAAAATCGGTCATCGATGCACTCATTATACGATTGGGTAGTTTCTAAAAAATAATTATAATAGTTTTATTTAAAATAAAAAATATATTAAAAAAAATATATTAAAAAAAATATATTTAAAAAATAACAACAAATAATAATAATTAATTTACAGTTATAAACAACGAAATAAATAAACATATTGTTATTAAATATTTATATGATAAAGATATTTGTTTATTATTTTCCATTGTGTTTGATATATATATATATATATATATATATAAAATAGGTTTACTTTAATTAATAACTGTTAGTCAACGACAACAACAAAAAAATAAATAAATAATTTGAAAAATAAATAATTTAAAAAAAATATTTAATAATTGTAAAAAAAAACTATTATAATTGATTATTAGTAAAACTATTTTAATTAACTTTTATTTTTTAAACGTTAATATACTGTTTTATATAATAATTAAAAAAAAACCCAGTTAATAATGCTAGAAAGCATTATCACGAAAAAAAATCATTGACGTCATAAAATTGTTTATGTTCGTAGCTTAATAAATATAAAAACAAACAAAAATAACTAATTAAGTAAAAAAAATAAAATTTTATTTTTAAACATATCGTAAAATTAATTACAAAATTAATATATATATATATATATATAACAATAGATATAATAAATCTGTCCTAGTTCATATAATATTTATACCATTCACCTAGATACCGGAAGTTAAAAATTTTATTTAAAAAAAAATCTATAAAAAATAAATGCTACCAAGTTGCTAGAAAAATCTAAAAATAATATCTATAAAAAACCAGTTAAGAATGCTAGAAAGCATTTTCAGAAAAAAAACTTGAATAGCATTGAAAACCATACGTTTATATAATTATAGCGGCTATAGAGTAACATTTAAAAATTTAAAAAACGTCAAATATACATAAATTAAATATTGATATCAAATGACTCAGTATGACAAAATAAACTCAACTTTAGTCATGTACGGCATCAAATGACTCAGTATGACAAAATAAACTCAACTTTAGTCATGTACGGCATCAAATGACTCAGTATGACAAAATAAACTCAACTTTAGTCATGTACGGCATCAAATGACTCAGTATGACAAAATAAACTCAACTTTAGTCATGTACGGCATCAAATGACAAAATAAACTCAACTTTAGTCATGTACGGCATCAAATGACTCAGTATGACAAAATAAACTCAACTTTAGTCATGTACGGCATCAAATGACTCAGTATGACATAATAAACTCAACTTTAGTCATGTACGGCATCAAATGACTCAGTATGACATAATATACTTAACTATAGTCATGCAGGGTATCAAGTGAAACAGTATGACAAAATAAACTACTCATATGTGGTATCAAATGATTTAGTAAAACAAAATAAACAACAATAATCATACTTTTTAAAAATTGATAATTTTGATCTATAATATCTTATTTTTAATGATCTATACAATTCTAAACGTTAAAATTTGTACCTAAAATTTTTTATACTTTTTCCGCCATTTTTGAAAATTTTTTTTGATCAACTATATCTTATTTTTGATGCTCTATAAAATTCTAAACGTTAAAATTTTTACCTAAATTTTTTTACTTTGGCCGCCATTTTCTCTATGTTCCCGAAGAGATATCAAAATTTTAATGCCACTCTTAAATACATTATTAGTAGTCCTCTAACCGAATCTGAAGTCAGAATTTCAAAATTCGCAAAAAAATATGCGACACACACACACACAGACAGACAGACTCAAAAAGCCATTATAGATTTCAGTAAACAAAACTTTTCAAGTTTTTTTTGAATATCAGTTGTCTACTAGACTAACTCATCTAATATTAACTTTATACTGTATATCTTTTTTATATGTTGGCTGTTATGAAATATTTTAAAAATTTGATTTTTTTTTAGAAAAAAGTTTAAGTTTATCGGGTATTTACACCATATTTTACACTAAGATATAAATTTCAGTAATTGAAATTCACAAAAAAAAAAATTCTACAGACAGACAGTCAGACACAAAAAAGTTTGTATAGATTTCAGAAAACAAACCTTTTCAACAAGTCATGGAAATTATTGTTAATATTAATTTATTAATAATATTGTATTATTTTTAATGATTTTGCTAAATAAAATAAATTTTTTTTAATTACAAATGTTTACATAAAAAACCAGTTGAGAATGCTAGAAAGCATTTCCACACGAATTCCTAATCATAATTAAAAATTAAATTCAGTATGATAAAATAAAATCAACTAAAGTTATGTAGGGTATCAAACGATTTAGTATGACAAAATATACAACTATAGTCATGTGGGGTATCAAATGATTCAGTATTACAAAATAAACTACTATTTTCCTAAAAAATAAACTTAAAATCGAAAAAAATAAAAAAATCAATATTTAAAAAAAATTCAAAAAAATAAATTCAAAAAAAAATTCAAAATTTTTTTAATTAATTTTTGGACAACATTTTCTTCAATTTCATAAAAAATAAAACTTAAAAACGAAAAAAACAAAAAATCAATATTCAAAAAAAAATCAAAAAAAAAATTCAAAAAAATTCAAAATTTTTTTAATTAATTTTTGGACACAATTTTCTTCAATTTCCTAAAAAATAAACTTAAATAAGAAAAAAAAACAAAAAAAAAATTCAAAAAAAAATTTGTAGCGGATAGTGGATTCGAACCTATGTCCTCGTGGGACAGACAGACCGACAGACAGACCGACTTATAGAATGCATATACGTATTCCTTTCAGGAATTCGTGAACAAAAAAAAAATTGTAGCGGATAGTGGATTCGAACCTATGTCCTCGTGGGACAGACAGACCGACAGACCGACTTATAGAATGCATATACGGATTCCTTTCAGGAATTCGTGAAAAATAATAAATATATCGTTAAATAAGAAAAATATTTTTTGTTATTTTATGTTAGTATTATATATATATATATATATATATAAACTAATAATCATTTATATCATATAAATTATATGTTTGATTTTTATAAAAATAAAATTGCTTGAATATCAGTAGCATAAATAAAATTTATTATAATACAACATATCATATATACAGTACATATATATTTAATAGTAAAGTTAGAGTTAAAAAAAAATAATTATTAGGATACACATATAATTTTTTCAAAAAAAAAAAAATAAAATAAATAATTTTATCAAAATTTATGACTTTCTCTAAAATATCCATTTATCCACAAAACTTTGAAATTTTAGCAAAAAAAATGCATTTTTTCCCCAAATAAATATTTAAAAAAAAAAAAAAATATTGTATATTTATAGTACAAGATTATTCATAATAAATATATACACTATTAATAGAGATAATTATAATGAGAATTAATTAATTTTAAAATTATACAATAAATAAATATTTATATATTTTTTTATCAAATAACTAATGGCATAATACTAGTACTCTCGTTATCGATGGTTGTTATCGTATTGATGTCAATGAGTTTAATGATGTCCTTACTATCCGTTTCGGTACTGTCGTCGTCATCATCACTGGTCGACAATCTAGTGGTCACTCTGACTTGCAGTCTATTATCGATAGCCAATCGGATATTATCGATACTATCGCATACCTGTCCGTTAAGTAAACAAATACGTCTACCGATAATACCACTGGTGTTTAGTTATTTATTGTGTGGATCCAAAAAAACAAACAAATTAATCAAATAATTATTAATTTAAAAATAAATAAATAATATATAACTAAATAACAAACTTTGCATCCGTTGTGGCCGTCGGTAGTGCCGCTGTGACTGTAAAACTATCCGACAATGGTTTTGTATCTATAATTATACCCAATATTTGTGTAACGATACGACTGTCCCATTCATATCGTTTCCTGAGACGGGTTTGCTTTATACCATCACTTTCATAGGCCAATGCATTAGTCATAAACTCTGTATTTTGAAAATAAATATAAATAAATAAAAAATTTATTAATACTGTCATTGATTGTCACTAATTGTATAACTTATTATATATATATATATATTGCAATATGTAATACTATTAGATATATTTTTATTTATATATATTTTTAATATATATATATATATATATAGTTCATACCTATCAATGTTTGCGGGGCGATTGCATAGGATATCTGTCCACATCTTATAATACCGCCATTACAAATACCGCATATCTGGCCATTAGTATCGATGACCGGACCGCCCGAATTGCCGGGCAATGCTATAGTACTGTGCGTATAGATCGGCAGTTTATCATTGATGGTTACAGTACTTATATAATAGGCAACGGGTATCAAATATTTGTCGACTTTGGGTGTAATAACCATACCCGGATGCATTGAAAAGCGTACGTTACCGCCATGACCTAGCATAGCTACTGGTGAACCAAAATCGGTACTCACTGGACTGGTGGTAGTAATCGGCATTGTTGTCGACGTATTATATTCAGGCGATGGCGCATCCCTGAGCCGTACTAATGCCAGATCATTGTGCGGTTCGGCATACAGGATGTCGCCTACACTAGCTATAGGACATAACTCTAATATTTGTTGTGATTTTAATTTTGAATCTGAAACATCTGAATCTGAATCATCTGACCCATGATTATCATAGCTATAAACATATTGAACGAAAACAAACGGACTTTGTTTGACCACATGATAACAGGTCAATAGTAGACGATTGTCGACAAAAACACCCGTTCCTCGACTGATAATAATATTATCATTGATTCGGTGTCTTATAACCCAACCTATCGATCGGATGCATTGAGTTTTCAGGTCAATCATATCGAAGCCAATCGTATCGGCGGCGGTGTTATTGTTGACCACCATTAGCGCCGATCTCAGACAATGATACCGATTGTTTGTTTTTGGAGACAATAGTCGGACACTACTGGATGTTGTCTGAAACGATTGACAGATAAACGATGGCTTATACTTGTTATTATAGTATGTCCACCAAACCATTGATAATGGCATAAATAATATACCCATTGATCTACAATAATATATTACCGTAAAATAAAAATGTTTCAAATAATACTTAATATTAAATATTTTTGTTTCACTATATATATAACTAATATATATATAACTAACCTCTGATTTCTTATAGTTGATAATAATGTATACATAGTTAACAATCAAGTTATCAATAAAGTAATGTACAACCGGTGCTATTAAAGGTATTAAGTATTTGAATAAAACAAATATAGTTTAATAAAAAAAAATTATACAAAATTATAGTAAAATTCAAAATATATATACTTTATATATATTATTCACGCGATTACTCTTACATTATATTTTTACAAATATTATAGTTAATTAATTAATTAATTTATAGATAATAAACTATTTTATTTTTTGATTATTACACTAAAAAAACAAATATAGTATTTCAAAAAACACATTTTTTTTACATTAACATTGAATACTTAGGAAACAATTACATCCAATAATGTAATTGTTTTGTATGGTTACCGAAATATCGAAACGGCAGTCATGTTTGGCCAAAATTTGACCGCAAATATGGCCGTTACTAATGCTCATGTAGTGCAAGGCTATCAACACATTGAAGGCTTTACATGCTTCTGGGCGCCGACCATACAGTTAGCTGAACAGTCGGCCGTCGAAATGTCTAATAGATTCATTGGCCCCGAGTTTTATACTGTTGAATGGCATCTGGATCTGGCACTCATACAACTATATGAATTGGACTACACTAGAATCCAGTAGCCGTCATTTTTTTCCCGGCCAATCGTCCACTGGAACTGGGCGAATCGATAGCCATTTTGGGTCACGGTGCTGGCCAATTGTGGCTACAATCAATCTAGGCTACATAACTGCATATACACCGATTGATACTATAAGTGCGACAAATTATGAACCGTTAGCCGATATGTTAGACAAACGGCAACAGTTTGTCGTACATAAGTCCTGTACTATTCCCGGATCATCGGGTTCACCTATATTTGATGCCAACTATAAAATTATTGGCATTCATTTTGGTGTAATATTTTCCAATGATAACCTTAAAATTGGCACTAATAATAAATGTCTAAAAAGTATGCATACAAATACTAAATATTGATGTTTTTAGGGACAGGTGCTGTATTAATACATTATGCTATATAATATAAGTTCCAGAGCACTGTTAGATTAGAGCTAATTTTTATTAATTTTTAAAAAATATTAATTTTTAAATTTTTAAAATACTTTATAAAGAGTTTATAATTTCAATTATTATAATATGATTTATGTATGTATTTATTTATACAGATTTTATGAACAGAGGTTATCTATATCATAGCCAACACTCGGTTGTCCAGCGAAACCGTTTGCGACAACTGTACGAATCGGACAGACCGGCCGATCGGCGACTATTGGGTTTTGTTTTGCAATCAGAAATCGGCGGACTATTTACTGTCCAATCAGTGCTTCCCAATCCAGCAGAAAATGCACAGTTAGTTATTGTTGAACAGTGGTTTTAATTAATTAATTAGTTAATTATTATTATTATTATTGTTTTACACCCATTGATATTAAAGTACATATGTCGGCGCCCGTATTGAACACGTTTCCGGACAGTTGTTCAGAAATATCCATCAATTGACTGAAGCACTCAATCATAGTCTAACTGTCCAATTGGTGTTACGGTTCGATAGAGAAGAAGAAAGAGAAGAAGAAGAAGGAGTAGGAGATGCCGGACACTCAGGTCAAAGGCCACGTAAAGGTAGTATGAATCACATTGAATTGACAGCCCGCAACTCACCGGCACTCAAACAGCACCAACATTGGTTGATAGGGTTATACCGTTTGTTTTTTAATTAAAAAAAATAAAAAATAAAATAACACATTATTTTTGTTATCCGATTATTATATATATATATATTTTTTGTTTAATGTTATTAATATTAAAACAATTTTTTATTTTAATTTTTTTTTTTGATAAACATTTCTAAAATCAATTGATATGTTTTGTCTTAAATATGTGTAAATAAATAAAACAAAACAAAAAAATGTTGACTAAAAATAATACAAAATAATTATTAACTAATAGACAGGTATGTTATGGTAATGTTATGTATGTCTTGCCATATAATCATTAAATTAGTATATTATTACAAACTATAGTTTTAAAAAAATTACTCATAAATCAGTTATTCTTCAAAAATATCCATTTTTAGCAAAAAAAGCATTTTTCCCAAAAAAAATATTCACTTTTTCATAAATTATCAACATTTAGAAAATTTATAAAAATAAATAATAAATCAACATTTTATTCAAAAACAAAAATCAATAAGTATTCAAATCACAAATTAAAAAAAAAATATTAAAAATTAAAAATTAACTATTGCTATACAGAAATAAATATATAGAGTATTAATAAAAGATAATTATAATGAAAATTAATTAAATTTAAAATAATAAAAAAATAACAAAAAAAAAATTTATCAAAAAACTAATGGTATAATACTATTGTTGTCGTTATCGATGATTGTTATCGTATTGATGTCCGTTTCGGTACTGTTGTCGTCATCATCACTGGTAGACAATCTAGTGGTCACTCTGACTTGCGGTCTATTATTGATAGCCAATCGGATATTATCGATACTATCGCATACCTGTCCGTTAAGTAAACTAATACGTCTACCGATAATACCACTGGTGTTTAGTTATTTATGTGTGGATCCAAACAAACAAACAAATTAATTAAATAATTATAATTTTAAAAAATAAAAATAATATATAACTAAATACTAAACAAACTTTGCATCAGTTGTGGCCGTCGGTAGTGCCGCTGTGACTGTAAAACTACCAGACAATGGTTTTGTATCTACGATTATACCCAATATTTGTTTTACAGTACGACTGTCCCAATCATACCGTTCCCTGAGACGGATTTGCTTTATACCATCACTTTCATAGGCTAATGCTTTAGTCATAAACTCTGTATTTCGAAAATAAATAGATAATAAAAATTTATTAAATATGTCATCAATTTCTTAATTGATAACTTATTAATTGATTTAATAATCATTATATATGTATATATATATATATATATTGTTCAAACCTATTATAGTTTGCGAGCCGATTGTAAACGATATCTGTCCACGATTTATAACAGCGCCAAAACATATACCGCATACTCGGCCATTGGTATCGATGAGAGGACCGCCCGAATTGCCGGGCAATGCGATAGTACTGTGGGTTACGATCGGCAGTTTATCATTGATCATTACAGTACTTATATAATACGTAATGGGTATCAAATTTTTGTCGACTTGGGGTGTAATAACCATACCCGGATGCAATGCAAACCCTATGTTTCCGCCATGACCTAGTATAGCTACTGGTGCACCAAAATCGGTACTCACTGAACTGTTGGTAGTCACCGGCATTTTTGTCGACGTATTAAACAATGGTGATGGCGGATCCCAGAGCCGTACTAATGCCAGATCATTGTGCGGTTCAACATACAGGACGTCAGCTAAACTCGGAATTAACTCTAATATTTTTCGTGGTTTTGATTTTGATTTTGAATAGGAATAGGAATCATCTGAATCTGATTCTGTATCTGATTCTGAATCTGATTCTGAATCTGAATCGGAATCGGAATCGGAATCGGAATCGGAATCGGAATCTGAATCCGACCGCTGATTATCATAGCTTTGAAGATAATGAACGAAAACAAACGGATTATCTGCGACCACATGATAACAGGTCAACAGTAGACGATTCTCGTTAACAAAAACGCCAGTTCCTCGACCGCTAATAATATTATTATCATTGATACGAGGTTTTATAACCCAACCTATCGATCGGATGCACTGGTCTTTCATGTGAATCATATCGAAGCCATTATCGGCGTCGGTGTTATTGTTGACCATCATTAGCGCCGATCTAAGACAATGATACCGATTGTTTGTTTTTGGAGACAATAGTCGGACACTGGATGTCGTCTGAAACGATGGCTTATACTTGTTATTATGGTATGTCATCCAAACCATTGATAATGGTATACATAATATACCCATTGATCTGCAATAATATATTATTGTAAATAAAAATGTTTCAAATAAAACCTAATATAAAATATTTTTGTTTCCACTAATATATAATAACTAACCTCTGATTTCTTATAGTTGATAATAATGTATACATTAGTTAACAATCCAAGTAATCAATAAAGTAAAGTACAACCTAACTAACTACCGGTGCTATTAAAATGTATTGGAAGTATTGGAATAAAACAAAATATAACTGTAGTTTCAATTCAAAAAAAAATTTATTATTTACGCGATTACTCTTAAATTATATTTTATAAATAGTATATCTTTATTAGTTATAAGTTATTTAATTTATTGTCGCGCGACCTAACCTAACCTAAACTTAATTAAAAATATACAAAAAATATTAATCGCGTGAACAACCAATTAATTAATAAAACTATTAATTATTTTGATTATACAAATATATAGTATTTGATAAAAAAAATTAATTGTTTAATCCCTGGTTATCTACGGGAAAACAATTTTTTATTTTATTTATTTATTATTATTTTTTTTTTTGATAAACATTTCTAAAATCTAAAATGATATGTTTTGTAATAAATACATGTAAATAATATTTATTTTTTTTTTTAAAATGTAAAATCATAATAAATCAACATTTTATTCAAAAATCACAAATCAAATAAATATTAAAAAATAAAAAAAAATATTGATATATTTATAGTACAATATTATTAATTGAAGAAAAAACTATTACTATACAGAACTATAAAAATATATTGAGTATTAATAAAAGATAATTATAATGAAAATTAATTAATTTTAAAATTATAAAATTAAAAAAAAACATCAAAAAAAATAATTTATCAAAAAACTAATGGCATAATACTAGTACTCTCGTTATCGATGGTTGTTATCGTATTGATGTCAACGACTTTAATGATGTCCTTACTATGTGTTTCGGTACTGTCGTCGTCATCATCACTGGTCGACAATCTAGTGGTCACTCGGACTTGCAGTCTATTATCGATAGCCAATCGGATATTATCGATACTATCGCATACCTGTCGGTTAAGTATACAAATACGTCTACCGATAATACCACTGGTGTTTATTTATTTATTGTGTTCATCCAAACAAACAAACAAATTAATCAAATAATTATAATTAAAAAAAAAAATAAATAAATAATATATAACTAAATAACAAACTTTGCATCAGTTGTTGCCGTCGGTAGTGCCGCTGTGACTGTAAAACTATACGACAATGGTTTTGTATCTATAATTATACCCAAAATTTGATAAACAGTACGACTGTCCCATTCATACCGTTTCCTGATACGGTTGTGGTTTCTACCATCACTTTCATAGGCCAATGCTTTAGTCATAAACTCTGTAATTGAAAATAAATAGATAATAAAAATTTACTTATACTGTCATTAATTTTTTTTTGTTTAACTTATTTATTAATATATATATATATATATTTATTTATAGTTCATACCCTTTAATATTTCCGAACCGATTGCAAACGATATCTGTCCACGTTTTATAATAACTCCATAACATATACCGCATAATCGGCCATTGATATCGATGACAGGTCCGCCCGAATTGCCGGGCAATGCGACAGTACTGTGCGCTACAATCGGCAGTTTATCATTGATTGTTAACATACTTATATAATAGTTAACGGGTATCAAATAGTTGTCGACTTGGGGTGTAATAACCATACCCGGATGCAATGCAAACCGTATGTCATCGCCATGACCTAGCATAGCTACTGGTGCACCAAAATCGGTACTCTCGGGACTGGTAGTCAACGGCATTGTTGTCGACGTATTAAACGCTGGTGATGGCGGATCCCTGAGCCGTACTAATGCCAGATCATTGTGCGGTTCGACATACAGGACGTCGGCTAAACTATCATAAAATAATTCTAATATTTTTCGTGATTTTGATTTTGAATCTGAATCTGAATCTGATTTTGAATCTGAATCTGATTTTGAATCTGAATCTGATTTTGAATCTGAATCTGATTTTGAATCTGAATCTGATTTTGAATCTGAATCTGAATCATCTGACCACGACATCTGATTATCATAGCTTTGAACATAATGAACGAAAACAAACGGATTATCTGTGACCACATGATAACAGGTTAACAGTAGACGATTGTCGATAAGAAAAACGCCAGTTCCTCGCGAGCTAACATAATTACTATCTTTGATTTGAGATCTTATAACCCAACCTATCGATCGGATGCATTGGTTTTTCAGGTCAATCATATCGAAGCCATTATCAACAATGTGTCCATTGTTGTTGTCCACCATAATCGCCGATCTAAGACAATGATAGCGATTGTTTGCTTTTGGAGACAATAATCGGACACTGGATGTTGTCTGAAACGATTGACAGATAATCGATGGCTTATACTTGTTATTATGGTATGTCATCCAAATCATTGATAATGGTATACATAATATACCCATTAATCTGCAATTAATATATTACCGTAAAACAAATGTTTCAAATAAAATTTTTAATAAAATATTTTTATTTTCACTAATATATAACTAACCGATGATTTCTTATAGTTGATAATAATGTATACATTAGTTAACAATCAAGTAATCAATAAAGTAAAGTACAACCTAACTAACTACCGGTGCTATTAAAAGGTATTAAGTATTGGAATAAAACAAATATAACTTTAGTTTAATTTAAAAAAAATATATTATTCACGCGATTACTATTACATTATAATTTATAAATAGTATATTTGTATAATTAATTAATTGATTAATTAATTAATAAACTATTTTATTTTGATTATACAAATATAGTATTTGAAAATAAAAATTAATGGTTTAATCCTAAATGTTAATATTACTGCTGATGCTATCATCATATCTAACTGTCATCCCTTGACTACCAGTGCCAGTACTCCTGTTATTAGTGGAAATTTATGAGGAATTTATTGGAAATTTATAAAGATTAAGTAAAACAAATAACAAACGGTATTGTATATGAAACCACTTTATAATAATTTATAAATAAACAAATATATTTAATATTTAATAGTTAGACTTATTATAATACTTATTAGGATAAACATATAATTATTTAAAAAAAAATAAATAATAATATTAGAATTGTAAATATAAAACATATGGAAAATAGTTTTTTTTTTAAAAATATCAAATAATAATTTTACAATTATTTATCAAATAACTAATGGTATAATACTAATGCCCTGATTATCAGTTGATTATTGCAGATCAATGGGTATATTATGTATACCCATATCAATGGTTTGGATGACATACCATAATAACAAGTATAAGCCATCGTTTATCTGTCAATCGTTTCAGACAACATCCAGTGGTCGATCATTAGCTACTAAATCAAACAATCGGTATCATTGTCTTAGATCGGCGATTATGGTGGACAACAACAATGGACACATTGCCGATAATGGCTTCGATATGATTGACCTGAAAACCCAATGCATCCGATCGATAGGTTTGGTTATAAGACACCGAATCAATGATACTATTCCTAGCGGTCGAGGAACTGGCGTTTTTGTTATCGACACGCATCTACTGTTGACCTGTTATCATGTGGTCAAACATAATCCGTTTGTTTTCGTTCAATATGTGCGAAGCGATGATAATCAGTGGTCAGATGATTCAGATTCAGATTCAGATTCAGATTCAGATTCAGATTCAGATTCAGATTCAGATTCAAAATCAAAATTAAAATTACGACAAATACTACAGGTATGTCCTAATAGTGTAGCCAACGTCCTGTATGTCCAACCGCACAATGATCTGGCATTAGTACGGCTCAGGGATCCGCCATCGCCTAAATAGAATACATCGACAACAATGCCGGTGAATACCAGTCCTGAGAGTATCGATTTTGGTTCACCAGTAGCTCTGCTAGGTCATGGCGGAAACGTACGGTTTGCACTGCACCCGGGTATGGTTATTACACCCCAAAGTAGACAGCTATTTAATATTCTCAAGAAATTTATATAATTACTGTATAATTGCGCGTGAAATACAATTAAATTGATTGAAACTATAGCGCGTGTAAATAATACAAATAAAAAGATAGATTTTAGCCAAAAAAAAATTTAATTAATGGTTTAACCCTAAAGCCATCGGTTATCGACGGGAATATTCAAACAATTTTTTATTTTATTTATTTATTATTATTTATTTTTTTTTTTTTTGATAAACATTTCTTAAAAATCAAATGTTTTGTCATAAATACATGTAAATAGTAATTATTTTTTTTTTAAATGTTAAAAATGTGTCTAAAAAAATGTGTTCATTTTTTCATAAATTATTTTCATAAAACATTTAGCAGATTTATATAAAAATAATAATAATAATAATAAATCAACATTTTATTCAAAAAATCACAAATCAAATAAATATTAAAAATAAAAAAAAAATATTGATATATTATTAATTGTACAAAAAACTTAACTATTACTATACAGAACTATATAAATATGTTGAGTATTAATAAAAGATAATTATAATGAGAATTAATTAATTTTAAAATTATAAAATAAAAAAACATCAAAAAACTAATGGTATAATACTATTACTCTCGTTATCGATGGTTGTTATCGTATTGATGTCAACGAGTTTAATGATGTCCTTACTATGTGTTTCGGTACTATCGTTGCCATCATCACTGGTAGACAATCTAGTGGTTACTCTGACATGCGGTCTATTATCGATAGCCAATCGGATATTATCGATACTATCGCATACCTGTCCGTTAAGTAAACTAATACGTCTACCGATAATACCACTGATGTTTATTTATTGTTGTGTGAATCCAAACAAACAAACAAATTAATCAAATAATTATAATTTTTAAAAAATAAATAATATATAACTAAATACTAAACAAACTTTGCATCAGTTGTGGCCGTCGGTAGTGCCGCTATGACTGTAAAACTATCCGACAATGGCTTTGTATCTACGATTATACCCAATATTTGTTTAACAGTACGACTGTCCCATTCATACCGTTTCTTGAGATGGTTTCGATTTAAACCATCACTTTCATAGGCCAATGCTTTAGTCAAAAACTCTGTATTTGAAAATAAATAGATAATAAAAATTTACTAATACTGTCATCAAATTTTTTATTCAAAAAAAAATTGTATAACTTATTATATAAATATAGTTAATACCTATCATAGTTTGCGAGCCGATTGCAAACGATATCTGTCCACGTTTTATAATAACGCCATAACATATACCGCATACTCGGCCATTGGTATCGATGACAGGACCGGGCAATGCGACAGTACTGTGCGCAACGATCGGCAGTTTATCATTGATGGTTACCAAACTTATATAATAGTTAATGGGTATCAAATAGTTGTCGACTTGGGGTGTAATAACCATACCCGGATGCAATGCAAACGGTACGTCATCGCCATGACCTAGCATAGCTATTGGTGCACCAAAATCGGTACTCGCTGGACTGGTAGTCAACGGCATTGTTGTCGACGTATTATATATTGGTGATGGCGCCTCCCTTAGCCGTACTAATGCCAGATCATTGTGCGGTTCAACATACAGGACGTCGGCTAAACTATTATAAAATAAGTCTAATATTTTTTGTGATTTTGATTTTGAATCTGAATCTGAATCTGAATCTGAATCTGAATCTGAATCTGAATCTGAATCTGAATCTGAATCTGAATCATCTGACCACGGATCATCATAGCTATAAACATAATGAACTAAAATAAACGGATTATCTTTGACCACATGATAACAGGTCAACAATAGACGATTTTCGATAAGAAAAACGCCAGTTCCACGAGCTCTAATAATATTATTATCATTGATTTGAGGTCTTATAACCCAACCTATCGATCGGATGCATTGGGTTTTCAGATCAATCATATCGAAGCCATTATCGGCGGTGTGGTGTCCATTGTTGTCCACCATAATCGACGATCTAAGACAATGATACCGATTGTTTGTTTTCGGTGACAATAGTCGGACACTGGATGTTGTCTGAAACGATTGACAGATAAACGATGGCTTAGGCTTATTATGGTGTGTCCACCAAATCATTGATAATGGTATACATAATATACCCATTGATCTGCAATTAATATATTACCGTAAATAAAAATGTTTCAAATAATACTTAATATTAAATATTTTTGTTTCACTAATATATATATATATAACTAACCGATGATTTCTTATAGTTGATAATAATGTATACATTAGTTAACAATCAAGTAATCAATTAAATGTAAACTACAACCTAACTGACTACCGGTGCTATTGAAGGTATTAAGTATTGGAATAAAACAAATATAATTATAGTTTAATAAAATACATATAAATTTTTTTAAAAAAATATTTATTCACGCGATTACTCAAACATTATATTTTATAAATATTTTTTGTTGTTGATTATATTTTGATTATACAAATAATTAATTAATAAACTATTTTATTTTTATTATACAAATATAGTATTTGAAAAAAAATTAATGTTTTAATCCTAAAGCCATTGTTATCGACGGGTGCTATAGTATTGATGTTAATAGAGCTGATGCTGTCATTTATAACAATCATACATAAGGTATAATCCGATATATTTTTCATAAATTATCAACATTTAGCAAATTTATTAAAATAAATAATAAATCAACATTTTATTTTAAAAAACAATAATCAATATAAGTAATCAAATCAAATAAATATTAAAACTAAAAAATATTGATATATTTATAGTAAAATATTAAATAAATTGAACAAAAAAATTTAACTATTACTATAAAGAACTAAATATATAGAGTATTAATAAAAAATAATTATAATGAAAATTAATAAAATTTAAAATAATAAAAAATAACAAAAAAAAATTTTTTTTATCAAAAAACTAATGGTATAATACTATTGCTCTCGTTATCGATGGTTGTTATCGTATTGATGTCCTTACTATCCGTTTCGGTACTGTTGTCGTTATCATCATTTGTAGACAATCTAGTGGTCACTCTGACTTGCGGTCTATCATAGATAGCCAATCGGATATTATTGATACTATTGCATACCTGTCCGTTAAGTAAACAAATACGTCTACCGATAATACTACTGGTGTTTAGTTATTGTGTGAATCCAAACAAACAAACAAACAAACAAATTAAACAAATAATTATAATTTTTAAAAATATATGAATAATATATAACTAAATACTAAACAAACTTTGCATCAGTTGTGGCCGTCGGTAGTGCCGCTTTGACTGTAAAACTATCCGACAATGGTTTTGTACCTACGATTATACCCAATATTTTATTAACAGTACGACTGTCCCATTCATACTGTTGCTTGAAACGGATATGCTTTTTACCATCACTTTCATAGGCCAATGCTTTAGTCAGAAACTCTGTATTTCAAAAATAAATAAAATAAAAGACATTTTGTATAACTTATTAATTATATATATATATATATTATTCATACCCTTTATAATTTCCGAACCGATTGCAAACGATATCTGTCCAGTTTTGGTAATACCGCCCCAAAAAATACCGCATATTTGGCCATTGGTATCGATGACAGGACCGCCCGAATTGCCGGGCACTCCGATAGTACTGTGGGCTACGATCGGCAGTTTTTCATTGAACGGTATACAACTGATGGCGTACGCAATGGGTATTAAATAGTTGTCCACTTGGGGTGTAATAACCATACCCGGATGCATTACAAACACTACGCCTCCACCATGACCTAGCATAGCTACTGGTGCACCAAAATCGGTACTCTCTGGACTGTTTGTCACCGGCATTGTTGTCGACGTATTATACATTGGTGATGGCGGATCCCTGAGCCGTACTAATGCCAGATCATTGTGCGGCTCTACATACAGAACGTCGGCCGCATTCATAGGACAAGTCATTAATATCTGATTATTATAGTTTCGCACATATTGTATCCAAACTATCGGATTATGTCTGACCACATGATAACAGGTCAACAGTAGACGATTGTCGACAACAAAAACACCCGTTCCTCGACCGCTAGTATTATCATCATTGATTCGATGTCTTATAACCCAACCAATCGATCGGATGCATTGGGTTTTCAGATCAATCATATCGAAGCCAATAGTATCGGCGGCGGTGTTATCGTTTACCGCCATAAGCGCCGCCGATCTAAGACAATGATACCGATTGTTTGTTTTTGTAGTCAATGTCCGGCCACTGGATGTTGTCTGAAACGAGTGACAGATAAACGATGGCTTATACTTGTTATTATGGTATGTCATCCAAACCATTGATATGGGTATACATAATATACCCATTGATCTGCTAAAATATATTACCGTAAAATGAAAATATTTCAAATAAAACTTAATATCAAATATTATGTTTTCTCTAATATATAACTAACCTCTGATTTCTTATAGTTGATAATAATTTATACATAGTTTAGTATAAAGTATTCAATAATGTAAAGGACAACCTAACTAACTACCGGTGCTATAAAAGGTATTAAGTATTGGAATAAAACAAATTTAATTCAAAAATATATATTATTCACGCTATTACTCTCATATTATATTTTATAAATAGTATATTTTTTATAATTATTTGATTATTAATTAATTAATAAACTATTTTATTTTTATTATACAAATATAGTATTTGAAAATAATAATTAATGGTTTAATCCTAAAGCCATTGTTATCGACGGGTGCTATAGTATTGATGTTAATAGAGCTGATGCTGTCATATCTAACTGTCATCCCATTGACTACCAGTCCCATTTACTACTGTTATCAGTGGGAATTTATTTATTATTAAGTAAAACAAATAACAAACGGCATTGTATATGAAACCGCTTTATAATAATTTATAATAATATTAATATAATATTTGCTATACTATTAGAATTGTAAATATAAAATTGTAAAGCATATGGAAAATATTTTTTTTTTTTTTAATATTAAATAATAATATTATAATTATTTATCAAATAACTAATTGAATTTATTGGAAACTTACAATTAATTTATTAGATTTTTTTTTTAAATAAAAATATATATCTGATATATATACAGTCTAATAATTAATGTTAAAACTAACTAATATAAAACTTTATTTATCAAATAACTAATGGTATAATACTAATGCCCTGATTATCAGTTGATGGTATAGTATTGAGGCTAAGAGATTGGGTGCTCATCTTTCTACTTGTTTTACTATTGTCACCATCAGTCGGATACCTAAACGAAACGGTTATTACCGTTTCATTAACAATAGCCGATCGGATAATATCGATACTATCGAAGTCTTGTCTATCGATTTTCAATACATTAGTGCCGATAATTTTTCTGGTGTTTAGGACAGACACACAAATAATAATAATTAATTAATATATGAAAAAATTAGGTATAAATTATACAAAAAACAACAAACAAAAAACACAAACAAACTTTGCATTATTTGTAGCACTGGGCAGAGCTGTCTGGACAGTAAAACTACCGGAAAACGGTTGTGTATGAAAAATCAAACCCAATAGTCGTGTATTGGACCCAATGTCCCATTCATACCGTTTCCTGAGACGATTGTGCTTTCTATCATCACTTTCATAGGCCAATGCTTTAGTAATAAACTCTGTATTTTGGAAAAATAAATAAATAATAATATAAAACAAAAATTTACTTATACTGTCACCAAAAAAAAAAACATTTTGTATAACTTATTATATACTGTATATATATATATAGTTCATACCCATTATAGTTTGCGAGCCGATTGCAAACGATATCTGTCCACGTCTATGAATACTGCCCCTACAAATACCGCATACTTGGCCATTGCTATCGATGACAGGACCGCCCGAATTGCCGGGCAATGTGATAGTACTGTGGGCTACGATCGGCAGTTTATCATTGAACGTTACAATACTTATATGATAGGAAATGGGTATCAAATAGTTGTCTACTTGGGGTGTAATAACCATACCCGGGTGCAGTGCAAACCGTACGTTTCCGCCATGACCCAGCAGAGCTACTGGTGAACCAAAATCGATACTCTCAGGACTGGTATTCACCGGCATTGTTGTCGATGTATTATATTTAGGCAATGGCGGATCCCTGAGCCGTACTAATGCCAGATCATTGTGCGGTTCGACATACAGGACGTCGGCTATATTATTAGGACATACCTGTAGTATTTGTCGTAATTTTGATTTTGATTTTGAATCTGAATCTGAATCTGAATCTGAATCTGAATCTGAATCTGAATCTGAATCTGAATCTGAATCATCTGACCACTGATTATCATAGCTTCGCACATATTGAACTAAAACAAACGGATTATGTTTGACCACATGATAACAGGTCAACAGTAGATGCGTGTCGATAACAAAAACGCCAGTTCCTCGACCGCTAGGAATAGTATCATTGATTCGGTGTCTTATAACCAAACCTATCGATCGGATGCATTGGGTTTTCAGGTCAATCATATCGAAGCCATTATCGGCGCCGGTGTTATTGTTGACCGACATAAGCGCTGCCGATCTAAGACAATGATACCGATTGTTTGTTTTTGTAGCTAATGATCGACCACTGGATGTTGTCTGAAACGATTGACAGATAAACGATGGCTTATACTTGTTATTATGGTATGTCATCCAAACCATTGATATGGGTATACATAATATACCCATTGATCTGCAATAATATATTACCATAAATCAAATGTTTTATATAAAGTTATTATAAACTATTATCTATTACTTATATTTAACTAACCGATGATTTCTTATAGTTGATAATAATGTATACATTAGTTAACAATCAAGTAATAAATAAAGTAAAGTACAACCTAACTAACTACCGGTGCTATTAAAAGGTATTGGAAGTATTGGAATAAAACAAATATAACTATAGTTTAATTTTTTTTTTAAATATATAATTCAAAAAAAATACTGTATATTATTCACGCGATTACTTTTACAGTATATTTTATAAATAAAATAATTGTATAATTAATTGATTCACTAATTAATTAATAAACGTTATGCTTTAAAATATATTAATTAAATGATAATGATTTGTTTTGTCTTAAATAATATATATCTAAATAAATAAAACAAAACAAAAACTTGTTTAAAAATTTGTCCAAATAATAAAAATAATCGTTTGGTTTTAGGTATACGACTGATGATGAAGACAATAGTCAAACTGTTTAGCACACAATCCATTAGCATCGATACTATACCATCAACTGATAATCACAGCGTTTTCCGGTAGTTTTACTGCCCAGTGCTACAAATAATGCAAAGTTTGTTTGTTTTTTTTAATGCAATTTATACCTAATTTTTATATATTAATTAATTATTATTTCTGGTGTGTCTGTCCTAAACACCAGAAAAATTATCGGCACTAATCGGTATTGAAAATCGATAGACAAGACTTCGATAGTATCGATATTATCCGATCGGCTATTGTTAATGATAGGGTAATAACCGTTTGGTTTAGGTATCCGACTGATAGTGACAATAGTAAAACAGGTAGAAAGATGAGCACCCAATCTCTTAGCATCGATACTATAACATCAATTGATAATCAGGGCATTAGTATTATACCATTAGTTATTTGATAAATAAAGTTATAAATTATATATTTGTAAGTTATTATTTCAATGTATATTATTATAAGATATATTTATTTAAAAATATTAATTATTATTTGATATTTAAAATAAAAAATTATTTTCCATAAGTTTTACTGTTAGAGTTGTAAATATAAAACATTAAAACTTATAGAAAATAATTTTTTAAATTTTAGGCTAAAATATTCATTTTTCACCAAAACTACCAAAATTTTAGCAAAAAAAAAATGCTAAATAATTATTTTTATAAATGTTTACATAAAAAAAATCATATATTGTTAAATAAGAAAAATAGATACACATAATAAAATTCAAAAAAATAAATATTAGTAATAATAATACTAATATATTATTAGATATACTATTAGAGTTGTAAATAAAAAAACAGTATATTTATCTGTATTTAATATCAAACTATATTTATCAAATAACTAATGGTATAATACTAATGCCCTGATTATCAGTTGATGGTATAGTATTGATGCTAATGGATTGGGTGCTCAACTTTCTACCTGTTTTACTATTGTCACCATCAGTCGGATACCTAAAACAAACGGTTATTACAGTTTCATTAACAATAGCCGATCGGATAATATCGATACTATCGAAGTCTTGTCTATAGATTTTCAATACATTAGTGCCGATAATATGTCTGTGTGTTTGGACACACAAACAAATAATTAATTTCTATAAAAATATGTATATATATATTATACAATAAAAAAAACACAACAAACCTTGCTTTATATGTAGCACTGGGCAGAGCTGTCTGGACAGTAAAACTACCCGAAAACGGTTGTGTAGAGAAAATCAAACCCAATAGTCGTGTATTGGACCTAATGTCCCATTCATACCGTTTTCTCAGATAGGTTTGCTTTCTCCTATCGGTTTCATAAGTCAATGACCTATCGATAAACTCTATGATAGAAACCAATCAACAAAAACTAAACTAAAATTTTCAGTAAATACTGTCATCGAGTTTTATATACAGTATATACTGTACATATATATCAATAGTTAAACATATATATATATAGTTCATACCAATCAATAATTGTGAGCCGATTGCAAACGATATTTGTCCACATTTTCTAATACCGCCCCAAACAATACCGCATACCTGGCCATTGGTATATCGATTATAGGACCGCCCGAATTACCTGGTAATGCGATAGTACTATGGGCTACGATCGGCAATTTTATTATTGAACGATCCTAAACCAATGTAATACCTGTGAGGTATCAAATAGTTGTCGACTTGGGGTGTAATAACCATACCCTGGTTCAATGCAAACCGTTCTCCACCGCCGTGACCGATCATAGCTACAGGTGCACCAAAATCGGTACTCGTCTGCTGGCTAGTAGTTATCCGCATTATTGTCGACGTATTATACATTGGTGATGACGGCTCCCTGAGCCGTACTAAAGCCAAATCTAAGTGCGGCTCTACATACAGGACATCGGCCATATTCATAGGACATGTCACTAATACCTGATTATCATAGCTTCGGACATATTGTATCCAAACTATAGGATTATGTTTGACCACATGATAACAGGTCAACAGTAGACGATGGCCGACAAAAACGCCGGTTCCTTCGCCGCTAATTTTATACATATTTCAATCAAGTTTAGGTCGTATAACACGACCTATCGATCGGATGGACCGGTTTTTCAGGTCAATCATATCGAAGCCAGTGTTTCCATTGTTGACAGCCATAAGCGCCGCCGATCTAAGACAATGATACCGATTGTTGTTTGTATTTGTAGTCAATGACCGGCCACTGGTTGTTGTTGTTGTCCGAAACGATTGCCAGTTAAACATTAGCCGTTTATTGTATGCCATCCATAGCATTGATATTGGTATACATAATAAACCCATTGATCTGTAATATTATATATATATTATGTTTTAAATATAGTTTATTATATAAATATATATATTGATATATAAAATATTTATTTCATTTATACAGTATATATATATATATATATATATATATATATATGTAAATATATATATAATAATAATAAACCGCAGTTTTATTATAGTTGATGATATAAGTATATATATAAATATAAGTAAAGTAAAATTTTTAAATATTTTAAAAATATATTACCGGTATATTATACACGCGATTACTTTGTATATAGGATGGAATTTATAGGGAGTTTATTGGAAACTTACAAATAATTTATTAGATTTTTTTAAATAAATATATATATATTATATATACAGTCTAATAATTAATGTAGGTAACAACTCTAACAGTAAAACTTATGGAAAATAATTTTTTATTTTAAATATCAAATAATAATTCTACAATTATTAATATTTTTAAATAAATATATCTTACCACATAATATACATTGAAATAATAACTTACAAATATATAATTTATAACTTTATTTATTAGATAACTAATGGTATGCTGTGATTATCAGTTGATGGTATAGTATTGATGCTAATGGATTGGGTGCTCATCTTTCTACCTGTTTTACTATTGTCACCATCAGTCGGATACCTAAACGAAACGGTTATTACCATCTAAACCATGGTAAAAACAATTTGAAACATATAATATAATTTTACAGATCAATGGGTGTATTATGTCTACCATTATCAGTGATGTGTTGGTCATATAATAAGCCGTTTTTTTCGTCATCATTGGTTAACTACTGGCAATCGTTTCGGACAACATCCAGTAGTAGCCGACAATTGTCTACAAAAACAAACAATCGGTATCAGTGTCTTAGATCGGCTCTTATGAAACCATGCATCGATGGTATCGATATGATTGACATGAAAAACCAATGCATCCGATCGGTAGGTCGTGTTATGCGGCCATCAGTGGAAGATATTCAGGAACTTCATTCTGATGGAACCGGTGTTTTTGTTGGCGACAATAGTCTACTGTTGACCTGTTATCATGTGGTCGTACAGCTACCGGACAGCTCTACCCAATGCTTCAGATAAAGCAAAGTTTGTTGTGTTTTTTTTTGTGTGTATGGTTTTCGGCTATTGTTAATGAAACGGTAATAACTAGTGAATGAAAATATATTTAATTAAATAAATAAATTTAAATTAAATATTATATAGATTTAAAATATAAATACATACAAAATATTTAATTAAATATTTAGCATTTTTCGTAAACATAATAAAATATTAATACATAAAACTAAATATATGCATATCAATAGTGCTGGTCATTGTTTAAATAAATATTTTGGTATTTTTTAGCAAATATTTAAATAAATATTTTGGTATTTTTTAGCAAATATTTTATTGAATATTTTCAGTTTTTAAATAAATATTTTTTAATTCACTAGTAATAACTGTTTGGTTTAGGTATACGACTACTGATGATGAAGACAGTCAGTCAAACGGGTAGAAAGTTTAGCATCCAATCAATTAGCATCGATACTATACCATCAACTGATAATCAAGGCTCTAAATAATATAAAACTTATTGTAAAAAAAGTATTGAAAAATTAATTAACTAAACAATTGTGGGCACCTATTATTTTAATTAATTATTTTATTAATTATTTTATAAAACATGTTTTCTAATATATTGTATAATTAATTATTAAATAATAATAATAAACTATTTTATTTTTTTCATTATACAATACAATTAATTATTTCAAATAACTAATGGTTTAATACTAAAGCCTTGATTATCGACGGGTGCTATAGTATTGATGTTAACATCTCTAACTGTCATCCATTGACTATCACTACTACTACTACTACTACTGTCATCATCAGTGGGTAATTCAATAGACAATTTGATTACCCGATTACTACCGATAGCCGATCGGATGACTGCAATATTATTGAACTCCTGTCCAAAAACTTTGGTAACACGTGAGCCGATAATTCTTCTGGTGTGTCGACCAAAACAAACCCAAAAAAACAATATTTATTTAAAATTTTACAAAAAAATAAATATTAAAACAATTTTTTTTTAACAAACTTTGTATCCCCTGAAACAGTGGGCAAAACCGATTGGACAGTAAAACTACCCGAAAACGGTTGTTGTTGTTGTTTAGATAAAATCAAACCCAATAGTCTAGTGTCCGGCTCTCGTATGTCCCATTCATACCGTTCCCTCAAACGATTTTGTTTTATGCCATCTCTTTGATAAGTCAATCCTCTGACGACAAACTCTGATGTAAAACAAGTAGTTAATTAATTATTAAAAAAAATAAAATTTTTTTGTTAATATTTTTTCGGGTAAATAAAATTGATTATTATATCTGCATATACTGTATATACTGTATATACTGTATATACTGTATATACTGTATATACTGTATATACTGTATATACTGTATATACTGTATATACTGTATATATATTGTATATATATTGCTCATACCTTTTATTGTTATTGAATCGAGTGCATAGGATACCAGTCCACGTTTGGATATACCGCCCCAAACCATACCACACATACGGCCTTCGGTATCAATGAGTGGACAACCGGAAAACCCATAGATATTGACCGTATTGTGCGTTATGATTGGCATTTTTTCATTAAACGGTACCAAACTTATATAATAGCTAACGGGTATTAGATAGCTATCGACTCGGGGTGTAGTAATCATACCCGGATGCAGACCGTACCGTAAGTCCTGGCCGTGGCCTATAGTAGCTACCGGTTCGCCGAAATCAATTATTTGGTTACCACTGGTGGCCAATAGCATTGATTTGGCCGTATTATAGATGGGCGATGGCCATTGATGAAGTTGGACCAGTGCCAGATCCCAGTGCGGCTCTACATATAGGACTTCGGCGCCCATAATCAAATTTATCATAACCTGATTATCATAGCTCCTGACATATACAACCCATATAAATGGCGATTGTTTGACCACATGATAACAAGTTAATAGTAGACGATTGGCAACGAAAACACCCGATCCCGTACCGCCATCAGTATCTGGATCTTCTAGTAATGGTCTTATAATATAACCAATCGATCGGATGCAACGGTTTTTCATTGCAATCATATCGAAACCATTAATATTATCGGCGCCGGTGTTGTTATTGTTGGCCATAAGTGCCGCCGATCTAATACTAAACGTATTGTATTTGTTGGCAGACATGGGTCGGACACATGTGGGTGTTGTTGTTATTGTCTGAAACGATTGCCAGCCATGAAACAATGGCTGCTTATTGTATGCCATCCACAACATTGATAATGGCATACATAAAACACCAATTGATCTGAAAAAAAATTATAATTATATTGAATAGAAAATTATTTTATTTTTTTAAAACACATACTGTATATATAACAAACCGATAATTTATTAAATTAGTTGATAACAATTTATACATTGTTATAATAGTAATCTGTAATGTATAACTAAAAACGACAACTAAATACCGGTGCTATAGTTAGAGGACTATAAGTATAACCAATAATACAAAAAAATAGTCGACTGTTATATAAATGACACTAACGTTGTTCACGCGATTATTATTTATATATATATATATATTATATATAATATATTTTTTTATATTAAATTTAGATTTTTAAAAAATATTTTATATATATTCAGTTAAACAATTTGTATCATTTGTTTGTTTTGTTTTTTAATTATTATTATTTAATTTATCATTGCTGTGGCCTATAGTAGCTACCGGTTCGCCAAACTCAATATGGCTAGCATTGGTGGCCAATAGCATCGAGTTGGCCGTATTATAGGCCGGCGATGGCCATTCATATAGTCGGACGACTGCCAGATCCCAATGCGGCTCTTTTATGTTTGTTTATGTTATTGTCGGACAAATTAAATTAAATTATTAAATCTAACCTAACCTAACCTAACCTAACCTAACCTAACCTAAACTAACCTAAATTATTTAAATCTAACCTAGATTAATCAAACAAAACCTAAATTATTAAAACCTGTAAAATATACTATATTATATAACAAAAAAATTATTGTATAATTAATTAATTAATAATAATAAACTATTTTAGTAAAATATTTGATTTTTATTATACAATAATTAATTATTTCAAATAACTAATGGTATAATACTAAAGCCTTGATTATCGACGGGTGCTATAGTATTGATGTTAATAGTGGGTAATCCTATCGACAATTTGATTACCCGATTAGTACCGATAGCCGATCGGATGACATCAATATTATTGAACACTTGTCCGAAAACTTTGGTAACACGTGAGCCGATAATTCTTCTGGTGTGTCGACCAAAACAAAAAATAATATTTATTTATAATTTTTATAAAAAAACAAATATTAAAAAAAAATTAAAACAAACTTTGTTTCATCTGAAACAGTGGGCAAAACCGATTGTACGGTAAAACTACTCGAAAACGGTTTTGTATCCAAAATCAAACCCAATAGTCTAGTGTCTGGCTCTTGTATATGCCATTCATACCGTTTCCTCAAACGGTTTAGTTTTATGCCATCTCTTTCATAAATCAATCCTCTGATGACAAACTCTGATGTAATTAACAAATAGTTAATTAATTATTACAAACAAACAAATTTTTTTTGTTAGTTTTTGTTGATTAGTATATGTTTGTACTGTATATATATATATATATTGCTCATACCTTTTATTGTTATTGAATCGAGTGCATAGGTTACGAGTCCACGATGGGATATACCGCCCCAAACCATACCACACATACGGCCATCGGTATCAATGAGTGGACAACCGGAAAACCCGTAGATATTGACCGTATTGTGCGCTATGATTGGCATTCTATCATTAAACGGTACTAAACTTATATAATAGTCGACAGGTATTTGACGGCTATCGACTCGGGGTGTAGTAATCATACCCGGATGCAGACCATACTGTAAGTCCTGGCCGTGGCCTATAGTAGCTACAGGTTCGCCAAAATCAATATGGATATTATCATCATCATTGGTGGTGGTGGCCAATTGCATTGAAGTAGCCGTATTATAGGCCGGCGATGGCCATTCGTGTAGTCGGACCAGTGCCAGATCCCATTGCGGCTCTACATAGAGGACTTCGGCCATCATAATCAGTGTTTTCAACAACTGATTATTATCATAGGTATAGACATATACAACCCCTATAACTGGCGATTGTCTGACCACATGATAACAAGTTAACAGTAGTCGATTGGCTACGAAAACACCCGATCCTATACCCCCTTCAATACGGCTATCATACTCGAGTGGGGCTCTTATAATATAACCAATCGATCGGATGCAACGGTTTTTCATTTGAATCATATCGTAACCATTAATATTATCGCCGGCGCTGTTATTGTTGTCCATAAGTGCCGCCGATCTAATACTAAACGTATTGTTTGTTTTTGCAGACATGGGTCGGACACCTGTTGAGGTTGTTGTTGTTGTCTGAAACCATCTGTGCTTAGTGTATGCCATCCACAACATTGATAATGGCATACATAAAACACGGCTCATTGATCTGAAAAATTAAATACTTATATTAAAAAAAAAAATGTTTTTTGAATTATACTAAATAGGAAATTATTTTTTTTAACACATCATATACTGTATATATATATATATAACAAACCTATAATTTATTATATTAGTTGATAACAATTTATACATAGTAGTAGTAATTGTAGTACTAATCTATAAAATAAAACAACAACTAAATACCGGTGCTATTATTAGGACTATAAGTATAACCAATAATACAAAAAAATAATCGACTGTTTTATAGTATAATTGCCACTAACATTGTTAACGCGATTAAAATATATATATATATTGTTAAGTTTAGATTATTTTTAAATATTTTTTAAATATTTTTTAAATATATTCAGTTAAACTATTTGTATCATTTGTTTGTTTATATTTTTTTTTTAATAATAATAATTATTATTTTATTTAGTATATCTAGTAGATTATCTACTATTAATATCCTATTATACACAATGTCATCAACTATAATAAAATTGAGGTTTATTTTAAACAAAAAAAAAATTGTATTAAAGCATAGTATATAACAATATATTTGATAAACATTTATAATATAAATTTTATTTATATACATATAGGCTAATCCGGAGTTTACGCACATTAAAAAAAATTGATTTTTTTCAACAGATAATAGTTAATTATGACCTAAAAAACATATATCCATCAAAATTATTGCGCGGAAACACCTAAAACCTAACTAAAACCTAACCTAAATACCTGAGCTCTCATAACATAATTCTACACTAATTATAAATAAATTAATATTAAACAAACATAAAGCGCGTGAACAAAATTAACATTTATAATATTGCTAATAAAATAGTATTGTTGTAATTTCTTTATAATACTTTTAAAAACAACTAGTTGTCCACGCGGAACATATAACCATCTAATTTTATAGAATTTATAAATTAATTGAACCACAATAATAATGATTTTTAAACATAAATCCAATATATGAATGTTATTTAACGTGACAAACACTGATTCCGTAACCCCAGTACTATATAGATTAGGTTAGGTTACCATTGAAAATTATGTTAGGTAGCGGTTCGAACACCAGGTTAGGTAACGCGACAAACACTGATTTCGTAACCCAAGTACTGTATAAATTTGGTTAGGTTACCATTGAAAATTAGGTTAGGTTGCGGTTCGAACACAAGGTTAGGTAACGGACAAACACTGATTCCGTAACCCAAGTACTGTATAAATTAGGTTAGGTTACCATTGAAAATTAGGTTAGGTTGCGGTTCGAACACCAGGTTAGGTAACGGACAAACACTGATTCTGTAACCCAAGTACTGTATAAATTAGGATAGGTTACCATTGAAAATTAGGTTAGGTTGCGGTTCGAACACCAGGTTAGGTAACGCGACAAACACTGATTTCGTAACCCAAGTACTGTATAAATTAGGTTAGGTTACCATTGAAAATTAGGTTAGGTTGCGGTTCGAACACCAGGTTAGGTAACGCGAGAAACACTGATTCCGTATCCCCAGTACTATATAGATTAGGTTAGGTTACCATTAAATATTAGATTAAGTTGCGAAGACATTGACACTTAAATTCATATATACATACAAACATTTTAAAATTATATAGTCGTATAGATAATAATATAAAACTATTGTTTTATTATACAGTGATTGATAACAATATTCATGCGCTTTATGTTTTTTTAATATTAATTTATTTATAATTAGTATAGAATTATGTTATGAGAGCTCAGGTATTTAGGTTAGGTTTTAGTTAGGTTTTAGGTGTTTCCGCGCAATAATTTTGATGGATATATGTTTTTAAGATCATAATTAACTATTATCTGTTGAAAAAAATCAACATTTTTTAATGTGCGTAAACTCCGGATAGGCCTATATATATATCAAAACTTACAGATCAATAAGTACATTATGTATACCATTATCAATGGTATGGATGGCATACACTGAGCCGCTGTCCTGTATCTGGCAATCGTTTCGGACAATATCTAGTGGCCAGACATTGACTACAAAAACAAACAATCGGTATCATTATCTTAGATCGGCGGCGCTTATGGCGTTGAACAATGGACACCACACCGTGGATAATGGCTTCGATATGATTGACCTGAAAGCCCAATGCATCCGATCGATAGGTTTGGTTATAAGTCAACGAGTCGATGACTATTGGAACGGGTGTTTTTGTGGACAATCGTGTACTGTTGACCTGTTGTCATGTTGTCAAACATAGTCCGATAGTTTGGATTCAATATGTTATAACCTATGAGAATCGGCCATCAGATTCAGTATCAAAATCAGAACAGCTATTAGTTATATGTCCTAGGAATCTGGCGGACGTCCTGTATGTCGAACCGCACAATGATCTGGCATTAGTACGGCTCAGGGATCCGCCATCGCCTGTATATAATACGTCGACACCAATGCCGGTAACTACCAGTCCAGAGAGTACCGATTTTGGTTCACCAGTAGCTATGCTAGGTCATGGCGGTAACGTACGGTTTGCACTACACCCGGGTATGGTTATTACACCCCAAGTCGACAACTATTTGATACCCATTAACTATTATATAAGTATTGTATCGATCAATGATAAACTGCCGATCGTAACTCACAGTACTATTGCATTAGCCGGCAATTCGGGCGGTCCTGTCATTGATAGCAATGGCCAACTATGCGGTATATGTTATGGCGGTATTATAAAACGTGGACAGATATCTTATGCAATCGGCTCGCAAATATTGATGGGTTAGTAATAATGTTTATTAAAATTAATTAACAAATTTGCTGACAGTATTAGTAAATTTTTATTTATTTATTATTTATTTATTTTTCAAAATACAGAGTTTATGGATAAAGCTTTGGCCTATGAAAGTGATAATAGAAAGCACAACCGTCTCAGAAAACTGTATGAATGGGACATTGGGTCCAATACACGACTATTGGGTTTGATTTTTCATACACAACCGTTTTCCGGTAGTTTTACTGTCCAGACAGCTCTGCCCAGTGCTACAAATAATGCAAAGTTTGTTTGTGTTTTTTTTTGTGTATAATTTATACCTACTTTTAAATATAAGTTAATTAATTATTTGTTTGTGTGTCCAAACACTAGAAAAATTATCGGCACTAATGCATTGAAAATCGATAGACAAGACTTCGATAGTATCGATATTATCCGATCGGCTATTGTTAATGAAACGGTAATAACCGTTTCGTTTAGGTATCCGACTGATGGTGACAATAGTCAAACAGGTAGAAAGATGAGCACCCAATCTCTTAGCATCAATACTATACCATCAACTGATAATCAGTACATTAGTATTATACCATTAGTTATTTGATAAATAAAGTTATATTAATATATTAGTTAGTTTTAACATTAATTATTAGACTGTATATATAATATATATATATTTATTTAAAAAAATCTAATAAATTATTTGTAAGTTTCCAATAAACTCCCTATAAATTCCATCCTATATAAAAAGTAATCGCGTGTATAATATACCGGTAATATATTTTTTAAATATTTAAAAATTTTACTTTACTTATATTTATATATATACTTATATCATCAACTATAATAAAACTGCGGTTTATTATTATTATATATATTTACATATATATATATATACTGTATAAATGAAATAAATATTTTATATATCAATATATATATATATATATATATAATAAACTATATTTAAAACATAATATATATATAATATTACAGATCAATGGGTTTATTATGTATCCCATTATCAATGCTATGGATGGCATACAATAAACGGCTAATGTTTAACTGGCAATCGTTTCGGACAACAACAACCAGTGGCCGGTCATTGACTACAAATACAAACAACAATCGGTATCATTGTCTTAGATCGGCGGCGCTTATGGCTGTCAACAATAACACTGGATTCGATATGATTGACCTGAAAAACCGGTCCATCCGATCGATAGGTCGTGTTATACGACCTAAACTTGAAGATATGTATAAAATTAGCGGCGAAGGAACCGGCGTTTTTGTCGGCCATCGTCTACTGTTGACCTGTTATCATGTGGTCAAACATAATCCCATAGTTTGGATACAATATGTCCGAAGCTATGATAATCAGGTTTTAGTGACATGTCCTATGAATATGGCCGATGTCCTGTATGTAGACAAATGTTCAATAATATTGATGTCATCCGATCGGCTATCGGTACTAATCGGGTAATCAAATTGTCGATAGGATTACCCACTATTAACATCAATACTATAGCACCCGTCGATAATCAAGGCTTTAGTATTATACCATTAGTTATTTGAAATAATTAATTATTGTATTATAAAAATCAAATATTTTACTAAAATAGTTTATTATTATTAATTAATTAATTATACAATAATTTTTTTGTTATATAATATAGTATATTTTACAGGTTTTAATAATTTAGGTTTTGTTTGATTAATCTAGGTTAGATTTAAATAATTTAGTTTAGTTTAGGTTAGGTTAGGTTAGGTTAGGTTAGGTTAGGTTAGATTTAATTTAATTTAATTTGTCCGACAATAACATAAACAAACATAAAAGAGCCGCATTGGGATCTGGCAGTCGTCCGACTATATGAATGGCCATCGCCGGCCTATAATACGGCCAACTCGATGCTATTGTCCACCAATGATAGCCATATTGAGTTTGGCGAACCGGTAGCTACTATAGGCCACAGCAATGATAAATTAAATAATAATAATTAAAAAACAAAACAAACAAATGATACAAATTGTTTAACTGAATATATATAAAATATTTTTTTAAAAAAATCTAAATTTAATATAAAAAAATATATTATATATAATATATATATAAAAATAATAAGCGCGTGAACAACGTTAGTATCAGTTTTAACAGTCGACTATTTTTTTGTATTATTGGTTATACATATAGTACTCTAACTATAGCACCGGTATTTAGTTGTCGTTTTTAGTTATAGATTATAGACTACTATTACTATGTATACATTGTTATCAACTAATTTAATAAATTATCGGTTTGTTATATAGAGTATATATGTTTGAAAAAAATAAAATAATTTTCTATTCAATATAATTCAAAAATATTTTTTAATATAATTATATAATTTTTTTCAGATCAATTGGTGTCTTATGTATGCCATTATCAATGTTGTGGATGGCATACAATAAGCAGCCATCGTTTCAGACAACAACAACAACCAAAGGTGTCCGACCCATGTCTGCCAAAACAAACAATCCGTTTAGTATTAGATCAGCTGCACTTATGGCCAACAATAACAACACCGGCGCCGATAATATTAATGGTTACGATATGATTGCAATGAAAAACCGTTGCATCCGATCGATTGGTTATATTATAAGACCATTACTAGAAGATCCAGATACTGATGGCGGTACGGGATCGGGTGTTTTCGTTGCCAATCGTCTACTATTAACATGTTATCATGTGGTCAAACAATCGCCAGCTATATGGGTTGTATATGTCAGGAGCTATGATAATCAGGTTATGACAAATTTGATTATGGGCGCCGAAGTCCTATATGTAGAGCCGCACTGGGATCTGGCACTGGTCCAACTTCATCAATGGCCATCGCCCATCTATAATACGGCCAAATCAATGCTATTGGCCACCAGTGGTAACCAAATAATTGATTTCGGCGAACCTGTAGCTACTATAGGCCACGGCCAGGACTTACGGTTTGGACTGCATCCGGGTATGATTACTATACCCCGAGTCGATAGCTATCTAATACCTGTTAGCTATTATATAAGTTTGGTACCGTTTAATGAAAAAATGCCAATCATAACGCACAATACGGTCAATATCTATGGGTTTTCCGGTTGTCCACTCATTGATACCGAAGGCCGTATGTGTGGTATGGTTTGGGGCGGTATATCCAAACGTGGACTGGTATCCTATGCACTCGATTCAATAACAATAAAAGGTATGAACAATATATATATATATATATATACAGTACATACAGATATTATAATCAATTATATAATAAATTTTATTTATTCAACAAAAAAAAAAATATTACTAAAAATTTCTTGTTTTTGTTTTTAATTATTAATTAACTATTTGTTTTACATCAGAGTTTGTCGTCAGAGGATTGACTTATCAAAGAGATGGCATAAAACAAAACCGTTTGAGGGAACGGTATGAATGGGACATACAAGACCCGGACACTCGGCTATTGGGTTTGATTTTATCTAAACAACAACAACCGTTTTCGTGTAGTTTTACTGTCCAATCGGTTTTGCCCACTGTTTCCGAGGAAACAAAGTTTGTTAAAAAAAATTGTTTTAATATTTATTTTTTTGTAAAATTTTAAATAAATATTGTTTTTTTGGGTTTGTTTTGGTCGACACACCAGAAGAATTATCGGCTCATGTGTTACCAAAGTTTTCGGACAGGAGTTCAATAATATTGCAGTCATCCGATCGGCTATCGGTACTAATAGGGTAATCAAATTGTCGATTGAATTACCCACTGATGATGACAGTAGTAGTAGTAGTAGTAGTAGTGGTAGTAGTAGTAGTGATAGTCAAGGGATGACAGTTAGACAGGTAGTGACTGTTAACATCAATACTATAGCACCCGTCGATAATCAAGGATTTAGGATTAAACCATTGGTTATTTGAAATAATTAATTGTATTGTATAATAAAAAAATAAAATAGTTTATTATTATTTAATAATTAATTATACAATATTTATTTTTTTGTAAAAAATTATTTGGAAAAATATATTTTACAGGTTTTTTTTAAAAAAAAATTAGGTTAGGTTTGTATAATATAGTTTTTAAGGTATAGCGACTCATTGCCAGGGTTTTAAGAAAATAAATGCCCATCCCTGGCAATACCCAAATAGATGCCATGCATTTATTTTGGGCATCTATTTTATTTGCCTGCCAATTTAAATTGCTAAAAAAGCAACTGTATTTATAAAAATAATTTAATTTATGCGTGTTAATTACAGTTAAAATTAATTTACTTATTTCCAAAAATATTACCTTTTTAATTAAAGGTATATAAAACAAAACAAAAATACAAGCAAATATATTATTCAAACAATGTTTTATAAAATAATTAATTTTTACAATTTATTAAGTTATATAAATACATAAACATAAATATATAATATTATATAAATACTAAAAATCAACAAAACAAACAAAAATACAATTTCTAAAAAATTAAATTTATCATTTAATATAAATTATATTTTCCATGCGATTACTACTGTTATATTAATAAATAATCAAATTTTAATAGTTTAGTTAATTAATTTTTCAATACTAATCAAGTTTTATAATTATTTAGAGTATAAAATTAACTAATATATAACTTTATTTATCAAATAACTAATGGTATAATACTAATGCCCTGATTATCAGTTGATGGTATAGTATCGATGATAAGGGATTGTGTGCTAAACTTTCTAACTATTGTTTGACTATTGTCTTCATCATCAGTAGTCGTATACCTAAACCAAACGGTTATTACCGTTTCATTAACAATAGCCGATCGGATAATATCGATATTATTGAAGTCTTGTCTATCGATTTTCAATACATTAGTGCCGATAATTTGTCTGTAGGTGTGTGTGTTTGGACACACAAACAAATAGTTGATTTATATTTTTTTTAAAAATAGGTATAAATTATACACCAAATAAAAAAACATAACAAACTTTGCATTATCTGTAGCATTGGGTAGAGCTGTCTGGACAGTAAAACTACCGGAAATCGGTTGTCTATCAAAAATCAAACCCAATAGTCGTCTATTGGACCCAATGTCCCATTCATACCGTTTCCTGAGACGGGTTTGTTTTCTGCCATCACTTTCATAAACTATAGCCCTATCGATAAACGCTTTGTATTTTAGACAGAAATAAAACAAAAATAATAAATATTTTTTTTTTTTTTTGAAAACATATTTTACATTATTTATACATTACATATACATTACATATATATTTATAGATAATTATTAAACATATTAAACAGTATTATTTGCCTGAAAATACCTGACAATGTTTTATAATCGACAGCAAAGCTTATCAGAAATCGTTGAAGAAAACCGCCCCAAACAAGACCACACAATTGGCCACTGGTATCGATTACAGGACTTCCCGAAAAACCCGGAACAGTGACCATACTATTGGTTATCATTGGTAATTGTTTGCCAAACGGTACTGTACTTACATAATACTTATACGGTTGCATATTGTTGTCGACTTCAGGTGTCCTAATCATACCCGTGTGTAGTGCATAGTGTATAGCATTGCCATTACCGATCATAGCTACCGGTGCACCGAATCCGATACTTTCGGTAGCGTTGGTAATCAGAGACATTGGTGTCGCCGTATTATACTTAAGTGACGGCTGTTTGCGGAGCCGAAGTATTGCCAAATCCCAGTGCGGCTCACAGTAGACAACGTCGGCCTCAATAAAACTTGATTTTTTTACTAACCGATTCTCATAGATTTTTATATATTCAATCCAAACTATCGGCAGATGTACGACCACATGATAACAGGTCAACATTAGCCGATTGTCGACAACAAAAACGCCGGTTCCTTCATTAGGAAATGTCCAAAAATCTTCCATTATTGGTTTTAAAACACGACCTACCGATCCGATGCATTTGTTTTTCATTGCAATCATATCGATACCATCGATGCCTGGGTTCATAAGCGCTGCCGATCTAAGACAATACCGATTGTTTGGTTTTGCAGACAATTGTCGGCTACTACTGGACTTTGTCCGAAACGATTGCCAGTAGTTAACCAATGATGATGACAACAACAACGGCTTATTATATGTCCACCAAATCACTGATAATGGTAGACATAATACACCCATTGATCTGTAAAATTATATATTATAAATATGTTTCAAATGTATATTTTTTGGTTTTATTTTAGTTTTTTTTTTAATTAATTAATAGTAATATATAGTAGAAAAGTGATAACCGAACCGATAATTAATTAATTTTGACGACAATAATGTATACATAATACAGTAGATATACTGGTGTTAAATAAATAGTAGAACTACTTATAAATTTGGTACTGAATTTAGTAATAATTTATATATAAAATAAAATTTAAAAAAAATAATAACAATTATATTTTGCACGCATTTTTTGAATTAATATAATATACAGTAATAATCATCAATACTTTTAAGATATTACTGTAACTGTTAATTATTACTGAGATTGTATTATAATAATAAAATAATTAATAGCAATAAATAAAATATTAAAAATATTTAGTTCAGTTTATAAAAAAAAATACAAACAAAATATACTGTAAATAAAATTATATTATTATATACATATAATTTATATGGGTATTGTATAGTATAGCTGCCACTTGTTGTTCACGCGATTAATATTTAATACAATTTTAAAGATAAATATATGAATGTCTCGTGAATTACTATTAATTTTATTGTAAATTAGAGAATATTTTCTTTGTAAAGTTTTTCTTGAAAGTTATGTTTCTTTTGAAAGCTATGACTTAAATTTAGTGAACAAAATGATTAATCTAAAGACATTATTTAGACTAATACTTGTCTCACAGGAGACAATGATTAACTGGTGTATAACAATGGGTTTATTATTAGCAACTAAAAATTGTCCCATTTGTGACAACGAAATGGTAAATAATTAATTTGCAAAAAAATACATTAAAAAATTATTTTCATAGAAGATAATTGTCAAACAATTATCGTACCGGTGCCACCAAAAGCATGGACAACCTCATGATTATAGACTAAGTGCTTTGAATAATACTAGGTTTTCTGGATCAAAGTTTAGCATTGAAAACATAATAATCTTGACGTACCTGTTTTCGGTCGGCACAACAAAATATGAGGACATTAAACGAGAAACAAGTGATTTAATTAAAACAACATCTCATAACACTATAAGTGATTGGCTTAACTTTTGTCGAGAAGTGGTATTTGATTGGGTCGAAAAATATCAATCAGTTGATCTCTTAGGAGGAGAAGGTAGTATATGATACATATTTAATTATGCACGTTACCTAAACCTAATTATAATGGTAATACCAAACTGATAGTGTATTAGTGTTTGCTCTGTTACCTAACCTGGAGTTCCGACCGCAACCTAAACCTAATTATAATGGTAATACCAAACTCATAGTGTATTAGTGTTTGCTCTGTTACCTAACCTGGAGTTCCGACCGCAACCTAAACCTAATTATAATGGTAATACCAAACTCATAGTGTATTAGTGTTTGCTCTGTTACCTAACCTGGAGTTCCGACCGCAACCTAAACCTAATTATAATGGTAATACCAAACTGATAGTGTATTAGTGTTTGCTCTGTTACCTAACCTGGAGTTCCGACCGCAACCTAAACCTAATTATAATGATAATATTTTGATAACTTTTAATTCAGGAGTTGTCGTAGAAATTGACGAAACAAAAGTTGGTAAAAGAAAGTACAATAGAGGTCGACTAGTTGATGGGACGTGGATTTTAGGTTTAGTTGAGATTCAAATAGGAGCTAATTGTCGACGTGGAGGTAGATTTCGTTTAGAAATATGTCCCCTAAATAAAAGAGATGCCGACACTCTTTTACCTTTGATACGTAAGCATGTAAAAATTGGGACAACTATTGTGTCTGACTGTTGGGCTGGATATTATAGACTAACAGACAATGGTATAAATGATAGATAAAACATATTATTAAGTTAATTAATTTTTTAATTTTTAGGTTTTGTCCATTTTACTGTGAATCATTCGAAAGAGTTTGTCAATTCACATTCTGGTGCAAACACACAGACCATTGAATCTCAATGGAGAGCTATGAAACGCAATCTTTTAAGAGGGGGTATACCACAAGATAACCTTTATCTACATTTAGCCGAATATCTTTGGCGCCGACACGTACTTCACAACAATTTAGATAATTTTATTTTTTTTATTGATTGTATAAAACAATTATACAACCCTTTAATGTAATTTTAATTACAGTATATACAGGTATATATATATTAATTTGCAATGTAAAATATTATTTCATAATAATATATTTATATTTAATAAAATCTATTGTAATTAACGCGATATTTGTATATTTAACTTTAAAATTGTATTAAATATTAATCGCGTGAACAACAAGTGGCAGCTATACTATACAACAGCCATTTATATACAGTATTATGTATACATTATTGTCGGCAAAATTAATTAATTATCGGTTCGGTTATTACTTTTCTACTATATATTGCTATTAATTAATAAAATAAACTAAAATAAAACCAAAAAATATATTTGAAACATATTTATAATATATAATTTTACAGATCAATGGGGATATGTATACCATTATCAGTGATCTGGTGGACATACAATAAGCCGTTGTTGTTGTCATCATCAGCGGTTAACTACTGGCAATCGTTACGGACAAAGTCCAGTAGTAGCCGACAATTGTCTACAAAAACAAACAATCGGTATCAGTGTCTTAGATCGGCAGCGCTTATGAACCCAGGCGTCGATGGTATCGATATGATTGTCATGAAAAACCAGTGCATCCGATCGGTAGGTCGCGTTATACGGCCATCAATGGAAGATATTCGGGTATTTCATTCGGATGGAACCGGCGTTTTTGTTGGCGACAATAGTCTACTGTTAACCTGTTATCATGTGGTCGTACAGCTACCGGTAGTTTGGGTCGAATTTGTGATAAGTTACGAGAATCGGATGGCAAAAAAATGTTTAATTAAGGCCGACGTTGTCTATTGTGAACCGCACTGTGATTTAGCACTACTTCATCTCCAGAGTTTACCGTCTGAAGTGTCCGACCGGCCGACTATACTGACGATAACCAACAAACTGGCAGCCGATAAAAGTATCGGATTCGGTGCACCGGTAGCTATGCTCGGCAATGGCAATGATATACACTATGAACTACATCCGGGTATGATTAGGACACCACTGGTCGACAAAAATATGACACCCTATATGTATTACGTTAGAATATCAACCGGTAGCGAACAATTACCGATCATAGCCACTAATATGGTCACTGTTCCGGGTTTTTCGGGAAGTCCTGCAATCGATATCAATGGCAAATTGTGTGGTCTTGTTTGGGGCGGTATTAGTGAACGATTTTTTATAAGCTATGCTATCGATTATAAAACATTGTCAGGTATTTGAAGCAAATAATAATAGATATACTGTTATTAATATGTTTAATAATTGATTGAAAAATTTATTATATATATATATATATATTATATATAATATATTTTTAAAAATGTTTTACTTTTTGTTTCTCAAATACAAAGCGTTTTTCAATAGGGCTATAGTTTATGGAAGAGAGGGTAGAAATCAAACCCGTCTAAGAAAACGATTTGAATGGGATATTCAGTCCAATAGACGACTAATGGGTCTAATAGTTGATTCAAAACCATTTTCCGGTTGTTTTACTGTACAGTCGGCACTTCCGATGGCCTCAACTAATGCAATGTTTGTTATCATTATAATTATTATAAAATATATCATAACTTTAATCATTTTGGTTGTTTATTTGGTCCCAAACAACACCAGTGGTATTATTGGTAGACGTATTTGTTTAGTTAACGGTCAGGTATGCAATACTGTCGATGATATTCGATTGGCTATCAATAATAGATTGGAAATCAAAGTGACCATTAGGTCTACCATAGATGATGACAGTAGTAGTGATAGTAAGGACAGTATGAAAACCATTGACATCAATACTATAGAAACCATCGATGAACAGGACATTAGTATTATGCCATTAGTTTTCTGATAATATATATATAACGTTATATATTATAATATTATTATATATTATTAATAAACATAATAAATATTATAAAAAATATTGAAAATACTTATAAAAGTAAATTATTTTTTTTATTCATTTTATTCATTAAAAATATCATATAATTACAAAACTAATGGTATTTAATACAAAACATATAAATGAAAATAATAATTAATTAAATATAGTGTATAATATAGTAAAAATATTGTTTTATATAAACTACAAATCTCTAATCTTTGATATACGCAAATTACGTTGATTTACACAAATAACGTACATTATAAACACAAATTACAAAGTAGTGTACGATTATTTAAATTTATTAAAATTATTTAAATATATATAAAAACTAAAATTTCTCAAAAGTTTAGTCTAATTAATGTGTATTGGTTCAGTAGTTTTGTTACATTAGGTTATTTAGTAGTTGTAAAAACAAATTAAGTCTCATTAAAATTACTTATGATGAATATTATAAAATTAATAAAAGAATTGCACGGCTATACATGTTGCGCGGGACAAACTAGTAAATTTTAAAAAATAACAATTATATTTTGCACGCAATTTTTGTATTTTGAGTTAATATCACATACTGTACACATGATATTACTGATAATTTTTAGCTTAATTATACTGAGATTGTATAATAAAAAGTTTCAATATATTAAAATAATTAAATAGTAATAGTAATAAATCAATTATAAAAAAATATTAGTTAATAAATTATTTATTTTATTTTATACTCTAATGTTTAAAATAATAGATAATAAAAAAACACACAAACAAAAAAACAATTAGAAAATAATGGGTAAATTTGTTTCATTATAATCAATGGCAGTCATCGACATTAACTCCGATTGTTTGGTAGTGTCCGCCATAGATCTCATAGTCAATGAAATAATATTGTTATCACGGGTTAGATCATTGAGTTTGTTAGCCAATTCACGGATAGTTGTATCCATAATTTGTTGGCCAATAAATTCACTGTTAAAAATCAAATAATTAAAATAAAATAAATTATGAAAACATTATACAATAGCATTACAAGTTGTAATTTACAACTAACAGTAAAATACATTTATTAAAATAATTTACACCAATAATAATAATATCAATTACTTACACATTAGGCGATTCGGGTATTGTATTAACAATTGTAAACTCAGTACTGTTGTTGTCATCAATAGTATTGGACAATAAAATCAGTCCTAATTTCAATCCCGGTCTCAATGTATAGCTTACTGTGCGATTCAATTGTCTATCATTGAATCCATTAGCATATCGTTTGCTATTTTCAATAAAATCTATTAAAAAATAGCATATAATTAAAATTATTTTTATTATTATTATTATTAATACCTAATATATCGTTGCAAGTGATGGCAAATGAAAATCTATCTTTAAGTGTACCCATAATCTGTGCGCCGATTACCGTGTAATCGGCGGTCAGGGCCGGACCACCCGAATACCCACGTAGTATGGGTGCCGAATGTACCAACAATTGACGTGAATTGTCGATAAATGTCGGAAAAACATAACCATAACCGTGTAGTTTGTCGACAGTAATACCAACGGTTAGTATAATACCCGATTGACACGATTTTTCGCCAACTATCTGTGTATGACCTATACTGGCCACTGGTTCGCCGAAAACATCGGCAGTAGTAGTATTAGTAGTCGTTGTTGATGTCCGGGAATCAAACGGTTGGCCATGAAATAGATCTTTATCGGGTTTATTAAGCACCAAAAGTGCCAGATCACGGGCCGGCTCCACATAGACAACATTGGCCGCTACGATATCCAGACCACCATAAAAATACATACTAACCTGTACTGACTGACTGCCCCCGACTACATGTAGATTAGTTACGATCGACATTTCGTTGCCATTCAACCGAAATCCTGTACCGTTTGCTATGTATTTATTTTGGCTGTCGTTAAGCGACGGAACCATAATTTTGACTACCGATTGGTCGCATCGGAACTTTATGGCCTTAATGTTGATGCGATTGTCATCTTTGATAGTATGGGCCGATCGTATGGTTGTCATTATTGTTGGCCACGGATGCGATGATAATAATAATGTGAATCTATTGGTTTGAAACCGTTTGCCATTTGAAAACAATAGTTGGTTACGATTACTGTTGCTATTTGTTTGCCACTTATTGTATGCTATTATCACTGCCGCCGCCATCAGTGATGATGGTATGGTTAAGACACTCAATAATCTGCTAAAAATATTATCATATATTTTATTTATTGATTTTTTTTAATGATTATTATTATTATATTGAAATATAATAGTAAGTAACCTATAATATCCTATAATAGATCTGAATTTATACATATTTTTCAAAAATAATATATATTGAATTATTACAAATTTGACAATAAAACTATTTAATAAAAAAAACAAAAATTCAAATTCAAATATTTTAAACAAAGTTAATATCGTTTTATTTTTTAATTTATTTTTTGTTATTGTTATTAATTGTGTATTAATTTAGTTACAAATCATCATTGTTATTAATATAACATAAAATATTTACAAATAAATTAAATAAAACAAATAAATACTAAAAAAAATATATAAATTAGAAAATAATGGGTAAATTTGTTTGATTATAATCAATGACAGTCATCGACATTGGCATCGATGGTAAGTTAGGTCCTGATCTGACCATTAGTTCAATTGTAGTGTTGTTTTTGTTGTTGTCTATACTACCAGTTGCTAAACCATTGAGTTTGTCATTAATTTGTTTGATATCAATATCAATAATTTGTTGACTAATAAATTTACTGTAAAAATCAATTTTTTAAAACAAATTAAAGTAATATATAATTTACAAAAAAATTCATTTGAAAATATTTATCATCAAATAAAAAATAATGTAATTATTTTTAATTATTTTTAAAACCCATTACTAATTACTTACCCATTAAGCGATTCGGGTATTATATTCTCAATTGTCAATTGGGTATTGTTTTCATAATTTGTTGATAAAATTAGTCCTAATTTAAATCCCGGTTCCAATGTATGACATTTTTGGCGATTTAATTGTCTATCACTTAGATGTTGTTCATATTGTCTACTTTTTTCAATAAAATCTAATAATAATTTTTTTTAGAGACAATAATAGATTATAAGATTATAATTTTGTTAGATTAAAACATTATAGAGATATAGACTACTATTACTAATTACTAATTACTAATTACTAATTACTAATTACTAATTACTAATTACTAATTACTAATTACTAATTACTAATTACTAATTACTAATTACTAATTACTAATTACTAATTACTAATTACTAATTACTAATTACTAATTACTAATTACTAATTACTAATTACTAATTACTAATTACTAATTACTAATTACTAATTACTAATTACTAATTACTAATTACTAATTACTAATTACTATTACTATTACTAATTACTAATTATTAATTATTAATTACTAATTACTAATTACTATTACTATTAACCTAATAGATCGACATTAGTAGTGGCAAAATAAAAACCATATTCACGTCTGGCCAATGTTGTCACACCTAAAACGGTAGCCATCGATGTCATCAATGGACCGCCGGAATAGCCATAGTTTGCTGGCGACGAATGCATTATAAATTGATGCCATTCCCCTGTATTAACCAAATCGATACGTCCGGGCGAATACAGTTGCTTGAGTTGAATACCCACGGTCTGGACATAACCCGATTGGTATAGTTTACTACAGCGAACGGGTGTATCCGTATGGCCGACAGTGGCTACCGGTTCCCAGTAAATATCCGAACCTTGATTGTATATCCGTGATCTGTCTATATCACGGGCCGGAAAACTATCGCTGCTTAACTGATATCTAAGGCTTACCAGTGCCAGATCCCGGTGCCGTTCAACATAGACAACAGTGGCCGTACATCTGGTCAACTGATATCTGTAATACAAGTCTACGTCGACTAAATGCGCGCCTTTGACTACGTGTGCATTGGTTACGATCATCATATCTGTATGACCACCACTGAGCCGAAACCCTGTGCCCAATGCTATCGGTTTGGTGTTATCGACCAACGACTGGACCAACACTTTGACTACTGTCTGATTGAAACAACGTTTAATATATCCAATATCTATGTCGTTGTTGTTGTTGTCGTCATCATTGATGATAGTATGTGCCGATCGTATTGTCGGTGTTGTTGTTGGCCACCGATTCGGTAATGATTTGAATCTATTGGTCCATTGAGACCATTGTTGCCTATTATTACTGTTGTTTGTTGTCGTCCACCAATTGTCTGCCGCCATCATCACCAGTGATGACGGTATGTATAACACACTAAATAATCTGTAAATAATATTTTTTTATTCAATTAAAATATTTAAATAAATTTATGTTTAATTTTATTTTTTTTATATTAACAAACCGATTGTATATCATATTAACAAACCGATTATTAGGAGTATTAGGAACGGTAGGGTAGGGTAGGGTAGGGTATCTTAACTTATCTAAAAACTTGTTTTTTAAAAAAAAAATCATGATTTTGATCACGTGTTAAAAAACTTCAAACAACAAGTGCGTGCAAACAATAAACAAAAAATTATTAACTATTAATTCAAAAAAAATGTATTTAAAATAAAATTTAAGTTAAATATTAATAAAACATAACATTTTCAATAACATAATAATCAACAAACAATTATTAGCTAAAAGACAATTAATTGATAACAACAACTACTATAAAAACAATAGTAACTATACTATCGGTAGTACCGATAATAATGGCCATACAGTCAGACACCACAGGGATGACATCAACATATAAATCCCTAACGTATCGATATAACCGCCAAAAAATGTTAAACATATTCAATATCTTAATCACTAAACAATTATTAGCAATAAGACGGCTAAAGATGACGACCACAACAACAACAGCTATACTATCGGTACCGATGATAGTAATGGCCATACAGTACAACACATGGCGGACACCACCAACACTTAGATACTCAACGTATAGATACCATTGTAGTAGTAGTAGTAGATCTGGTAGGTTGTCGTCATCATCATCATCTGGCACTGGTATGTCATCATCATCTGCACCCATACTACTACTACAACAACAACACCAGTATCGGTGGCGGTTCACAACAAGATCGGCTCGGCTGATGGACACCAACGATACCAATGGACGCCTCCCGGATGGCATCGATATCGCGGCTATCAGAAAACATTTCATCCGATCAATAGGTCTGGTAGTTACCAGCGAATTGGACGACTATGAACTGGGCTATTCGGAGGGAACCGGTGTTATTGTGGCCAACAATTTCGGACAACAGGGTTGTCTATTGTTAACCAACTGTCATGTGGTCAGCCATTCGTCTATTGTTGAAGTCATGTACAAATTGGACGTTGACACCGACACCGACACTGATAGCGACACAGACAACGACACCAACATCGACACCGACAGCGACTCCGACAGCGACACCGACAGCGACACCGACAGCGACACCGACAGCGACACCGACACCGACACCGACACCGACAGCGACTCCTACAGTGATTCCGACTCCGACACCGACGACGAGGACTTGTTTGTAGAAGTAGGCGATGTCTTATATGTTGAGCCGCACTGGGATCTGGCATTAGTCCGATTGCATCGTATGGTCGATACATTTCAACCGATGCCCATTAAAGCCCAACAATCATCATCATCAGCCGATAGTTTAGCGTTTGGCCAACCGATAGCCATGTACGGTCACGGCGCCCAAATAGCTTGGACAGTACATCCAGGTCTAGTTGTCCAACCGTTGGCCCAACAATTCAATGTATACGATAGCTATTGTGTTAGCGGCAATTTGTTCAATGATAACCAACCGATTGTATGCCATACGGCCATCAATGCACACGGTTTTTCTGGCTGTCCACTAATCGATACCGATGCCCGACAACTGTGCGGTCTAGTTTGGGGCGGGTTTATGGAAAAATCGTTGATTACGTTTGCCATCGACTTTCAAACAGTTAACGGTATGTCATATACTGTATTAATACTACTTTATATTGTTTGGTATAACTGTATAATAATAATTGTTTGTTTGTACTGTATGTCACACCCCTCCCCCCATACCCCCAGAGTTTATATTGCGGGCCTTGGAGTATGAAGTGTCTAATAAAAGACTAAATCGGCTCCGGGATCAGTATTCAATAATAGGATCCAGGGATAGACAGTTGGCCCTAATTTTGGCCAAACATTACGATAAAAATGATGTTTGGTTTACTATTGAGGAATTGCTTCCCGAATCCGAACCAATGTATTGTTTATTTATTTTATTGTTTTAATAGTTCAAACTATAATTTACTAATTAATTAATTAATTAATTTGTTTATTATTATTTAGAGATATTATTAACCGATATGTAATGTTCGTCAACGACCAGCCGTTTACCGACATTGAAACCATACGGACAGTCCTATCAGTTGGCGATGAAATCAGTTATCCGACTATTCAATTGACACTTAGGTCTTCAATGTTTAAGTATAATAATCAATTTGATAGGAAAGTTAACATTACATCCATGAGCCCGGATGTCCAGGCATTTGTTTTCTAGAGTTTTTATTTTAAAACTAATATATATATATATATATATATATTGTAACATTTTAAACATATTTGTTTGTCAATTAATAATAAATTTATTAAATATTTGATAAATAATAACTGTAATTTATTATTACTTATAGTAATTTTGTTTATACAATATAGATTTTTTTTTGAAAAAATAAATAAATAATTATCTATAATACCTATAAAATACAGTTTTTAATATTTATAATTTAATAACTTATACTAAATAATAAATTATAATATTATTTACTAATAAATAAATATATATATATAGATATAGATATTTATTATGAAAAATAAACTCTAGAAAACAAATGCCTGGACATCCTGGCTCATGGATGTAATGTCAATGTCACTTTAAGTAGGATACAGGCAGTTATAAAGTTTATATATAAGTATATATAAATATATAGTAATAAAATTAAAAAATATATATAATATAATAAAATTAATGTTACATTTAAAACATTTTAATATTAATAATGATTATCCTATCTACTAAATTAATTTTAATGTTTGATGTAATAATAATTTAATCTAATATTAAATTTTAAAAAATGAAATCATATATACTGACTAATAAATAGATAGTAACTATCTCTTATCTTATTTCATATCTTATCTTACATAAATAACGTTGATGTAAACAAATTACGTTACTATACATAAATTACGTTGATGTAAACAAATTACGTTTATGTAAACAAATTATGTTACTATACATAAATTACGTTGATGTAAACAAATTACGTTTATGTAAACAAATTAGATTGATATACATAAATTACAGTGATATACACTGAATTATACTGATGTACAGTAATGATGTACACAACTTTAATTTAATAATTTATTTAATTAATTTTAGACTAAACAATTAATTACTAGTTTTTTCAAATCTAATTTTAATTTTAATATATATTTTATATAAAATAAATAAATAATATTTATAATACTATTTAATACAATAAATATGTTTTGTTTACTAATTATAAATTACAAATTAATTTATTAATATATAGATATTTATTAGTATAAAAATAAACTCTAGAAAACAAATGCCTTGACATCCGGGCTCATGGATGTAATGTTAACTTTCCAATCAAATCGATTGTTATACCTATACATTGGAGACCTAAGTGTCAATTGAATAGTCGGATAGCTATCGTCGCCAACTGATAGGACTGTCCGTATGGTTTCAATGTCGGTAAACGGCTGGTCATTGACGAACATTACAAATCGGTTGACAATATTTCTTAAATAAATAAAACATTAATTAATTGATTAATTAGTAAAACAATTAAATAGTAAATTATAGTTTTTTTAGACAAAACAAACAAAAAAATACAATACAATGGTTGGGATTCGGGAAGTAATTCCTCGATAGTAAACCAAACATTATTGCTATCAAATTCATCGTAATGTTTGGCCAAAATTAGGGCCAACTGTCTATTACTGGAGCCAAACATTGAATACAGGTTCCGGAGCCGATTTAGGTTTATACCTGTATATGCATCAACATAGCTAATGGCCCTCAACATAAACTCTAAGGGGATTAGACATTATAAACATTAAATTATTAGTATATCAAACAATATAGGGATATATACTGTATATACAGGGTTTTCGATTCCAGGGGGGGGGGGGGCATAGAGGAATAAAATGGCAAAAATATCGCAAAAAAAAATTGGGGGAGGAATAGGGTGGGGTGAATAATTTTTATTGCATTTTTAAACGTCAATTTTTCGCCAAATTTGAGTAAATTTCTAATATATTCCCATTAAATTCCCATTAAATTGCCAAATAAATAACAAATAAATTCGCCCTACCCCCTCATCTTTCGCAACCCTGATATATACTGTATATACAGTATATATCATATATATGACATACCGTTAACTGTTTGATAGTCGACGGCAAACGTTATCTGGCCTCTGGTGACAAACCCACCCCAAACAATACCGCTTAGTCGGCCATCGGTATCGATTAGTGGACAGCCGGAAAACCCCGGTACATTGACGGCCGTATGGGCTACGATAGGCAAGTGACCGGCAAACGGTACAGTACTTATCCTATACGTGTCGTTTGCATTGTTTAGCTGAACCGACGGCTGCACTACCAGACCCGGATGTACAGTAAAGGCTATCTGTCCGTGACCAAACATGCAACCCGGTTGGCCAAACTTGGTTTCAGTGGCCATTGGCATCGGATTGAATAGGCTGTTCAGACGCTGTAGTCGGACCAGTGCCAGATCCCAGTGCTGTTCAACATACAGGACATCGGCTAACTCTACGTATACTCTATTGTCGTTGTGGTCGGGTTTATAGATAACCCTGACTACTGGCGAATGGGTGACCGCGTGATAGTTAGTCAACAGTAGACAACCGGTATCCGTGGTGTTGGCCACACAAACACCTGATCCTTCAGTAAAAATCTGGTCACTATTGTCCAGTTTTTTTATAACAATTATACCGATTGATCGGATACAATGTTTTCTGATAGCATCGATATCGATGCCATCCGGTTGGCCGCCGTTGCCCACAAAATTGATAGGTTTGTTGTTATCATTGTTGTCCATCATCAGAGCCGATCTATTAGTTAGTGGCCACCATTGTTGTGGGATATGTGTGTATGATAATGGCATACCAGTGCCAGATGCTGATGATGATGACAACCTACCAGATCTACTACTACTACTACAGTGGTGTCTAAACAATGTTTTTTAGACCATCGATGTTATTGTCATACATATAGTATGTAATGTATTGTAAAATCAAGCGATTATTTGGTACCCAATAAACACTATAATTGACAATACATTCAATGAATACAATATTTTTAGAGACAGTAATAACGTTTGTAATTATTATGTAATAAATTGAAAACTTAGTACTATTTACAAGTGAGATAGTCTAAAATTTTAATATTTTCTGCATTGCATCATGGACAATTATTTATGATTTTTAGTACACAAATTAGTATAGATTGGAGAGTATAAAGTGGAAAAATAAAGTTATAAATACATTATTTTAATTAAATATTTAATATAAAATAACTAATTTATTATAATACATATTTTATATTAATATAATTGAAATTATTTCAATATTTTATAGGATTAATAATGAATGAGTAATTATTTTTTTTTATCAAACTTTAAGTAGGATACAGGCAGTTATAAAGTTTATATATAAGTATATATAAATATAGAGTAATAAAATTAAAAAAAAATATAATATAATAAAATTAATGTTACATTTAAAACATTTTAATATTAATACTGATTATCCTATCTACTAAATTAATTTTAAGGTTTGATGTAATAATAATTTAATCTAATATTAAATTTTAAAAAATGAAATCATATATTTAATGAATACTGACTAATAAATAGATAGTAACTATCTCTTATCTTATTTCATATCTTATCTTACATAAATAACGTTGATGTAAACAAATTACGTTTATGTAAACAAATTACGTTACTATACATAAATTTCGTTGATGTAAACAAATTACGTTTAAGTAAACAAATTATGTTACTATACATAAATTACGTTGATGTAAACAAATTACGTTTAAGTAAACAAATTATGTTGCTATACATAAATTACGTTTATGTAAACAAATTACGTTATTATACACAAATTACGTTACTATACATAAATTACGTTGATCTAAACAAATTACGTTGATGTAAACAAATTACGTTATTATACACAAATTACGTTGAGATACACAATTTACGTTACTATACACAAATTACGTTACTATACATTAATAACGTTGATGTAAACAAATTACGTTATTATACACAAATTACGTTTATGTAAACAAATTACGTTATTATTTACAAATTACGTTACTATACATAAATTACGTTGACATACACAATTTACGTTACTATACACAAATTACGTTTATGTAAACAAATTACGTTATTATTCACAAATTACGTTGCTATACATAAATTACGTTGACATACACAATTTACGTTACTATACACAAATTACGTTATTATACACAAATTACGTTATTATTCACAAATTACGTTACTATACATAAATTACGTTGACATACACAATTTACGTTACTATACACAAATTACGTTATTATACACAAATTACGTTTATGTAAACAAATTACGTTATTATTCACAAATTACGTTATTATACACAAATTACGTTATTATTCACAAATTACGTTGATGTAAACAAATTACGTATTATACACAAATTACGTTACTATACATAAATAACGTTGATGTAAACAAATTACGTTGATGTAAACAAATTACGTATTATACACAAATTACGTTATTATACACAAATTACGTTGACATACACAAATTACGTTATTATACACAAATTACGTTGATGTAAACAAATTACGTATTATACACAAATTACGTATTATACACAAATTACGTTATTATACACAAATTACGTTGACATACACAATTTACGTTGACATACACAATTTACGTTACTATACACAAATTACGTTACTATACATAAATAACGTTGATGTAAACAAATTACGTTTATGTAAACAAATTACGTTGACATCCACAATATATGTTGCTATACACAAATTACGTCGCTATACATAAATTACGTTGATGTAAACAAATTACGTATTATACACAAATTACGTTATTATACACAAATTACGTTGACATACACAATTTACGTTGACATACACAATTTACGTTACTATACACAAATTACGTTACTATACATAAATAACGTTGATGTAAACAAATTACGTTTATGTAAACAAATTACGTTGACATACACAATATATGTTGCTATACACAAATTACGTCGCTATACATAAATTACGTTGATGTAAACAAATTACGTTAATGTAAACAAATTAGATTGATATACATAAATTACAGTAATATACACTGAATTATATTGATGTACACAACTTTAATTTAATAATTTATTTAATTAATTTTATACAACAATTAATTAC